CATACAGATGATGGTCCTAACCACAAGGAGCTTCCAACAATCCACAGTTCTACAGACCTGAGCTCACTCGCGCTCTCGGGAATGCACCCGCACCCGACAACTATGATTAGGATTCTAATGGATGGAAATTTTTCATCATAGTCAATCCCTTCCTTTTGATTGAACCTCTTGGCTACTAGTCTATCCTTGTATTTTTCTAGTTTCCCCTCTTGAAGACCCATTTGCACTTAATAGCTTTACGGTTTTGAGGTAAAGACACTAACTCCCAGACTTGGTTTTGGGTAATGGATCTATATTCATATTTCATGGCTTCTACCCAATAGTTATTTTCAGGTCAGGTTATGACTTCTTGGTATGTGGTAGGCTCAAGGTCTGGCTCATCCCCAACTCTCTCATAGTGTTCCCCCAGGTAGGTGAAGAACTCCGGTGGTCACCTCATATAGTTACTTCTCCTAAGTTGTGGTTTGGATTCTTGAGACTCAACGTTGTCACTAGCCATCTCATAGAGATTGACTTGCTTGTGACTTGCTTTTGCTTCAAGGAACTCAGCCTCAAAGAAGTGGGAATCCCGGCTTTCTATGACTGCCCCATTTTCAAGGTTGTGGAATCGATACCCTTTACCATGGTTAAGGTAGCCATTAAAGATACATTTAATAGTCTTGGGATCAAGTTTGGTCCTATTTCGGTATGGGATTAGAACATGACCAGAACAACCTCATACTCTTAGGTGGTCAAGGGACGGAGTACGACCAGTGAAAATCTCATGAGGAGTAAGAAGAACAACCTTGGTGGGTGCATGGTTCAGGATATATCCTGCTACTAATACTGCTTCTCCCCAAAATCCAAGGGATAGCTTTGCATGTTCCATGATACTTCTCTCCATTTCTACCAACGTCCTATTCTGTCTCTTGGTAACTCCATTTTACTCGGGTGTATAAGGCATGGTGTACTGATGAACAATACATGCTCCACACACAAGTCCCTAAAGAGATATGAGGAGTATTCACCGTCCCTATCAATTCTTAGGACTTTTATTCTTCAGTTTCTTTATCCGGCTTTGTATTCCTTAAAATGGTCTAATGCTTCAGATTTTCAATGCATAAGGTATGCATGGCCATATCGCGAATGGTCATCGATAAAGTGATGAAGTATCTCTGGCGACTTTTGGTTGCCACATTCATAGGACCGCATATGTCGCAATGGATGATTTCTAAAACATTAGAAGCTCTTTGTGCCCCGGTGGAATTTTTCCTTATCAGTTTTCTTGCACATATGATTCACACACTTTTGATAAATCATCTTTGTAGTTTTCGAAAATACCATATTTTCTTAATCTCTCCATTCTTTTATAACTTATGTACCCTAATCACATGTGTCATAGGAAAGCATCAATCTCATGAGTGGGAGACGAGACATAAGCAACTTCTTCCTTTATTTCAATAATAAAAAGTCCATCTTTGAGAAGACCGGTCATAAGTACTTCTACTGTAGTTTCTGACTGTCAGAAACTCAAGAGCATAAAGTATTTGCTTTAGGATCATAGTCTTCCCATTCTTCATTTCAAGTACATAGTCCCCAATGCCCAACACTTCCGTCTTTTGGTTACCTCCCATAAAGATATGTTGCTCACCCAGCTCCATGGGTTTAAAGTTGCAGAACCATGTTTGGTGTTTGACACATGGAATACATGGGCTGTAGCACCCGAGTCAAGACACCAAGATGTTCCCTTGGGGTCGCTAGTATGCTCTCAAACACGACACATGCATATTCTATATTTCCCTCATTGTTCCTATTGAACCTACAGTTCTTAGCAATATGCTCAACCTTCTTGCATACATAGCATTGCCTCTTCTCTCTCTTTCCTTTATAATTTTCTACTTCTCTCTTTCCCTTTTCTTTTCCTCATTCTTTTTCTTATTATTGAATCTCCCGTTCCCCTTATTTGGCTAAAGTAAGGTTTACAATTTACCTTGTGCATCGCATCTTTGGGTGTCAGTGCTCTTCTTTAGCTTTAAGCAAAGTAATGAGCTCCTCTAGCCCGGGAGCAATCTCCTTAGCATCAAGGGAAGCTACAAATACCTCCAAGAGGCATAGAGAGTATTTAGTAGGTGAACCACTTGCATGGGTTTACCGGGCCACTTCTGGATTGCCTTCAATTTAGATCATTGTAATCCTTCGTGGCCAGAGTCCTTATAAGAGAAGAATCAGCAAATTCCTTCTCAAGTCGCTAATGCATCCCTTTTGCAGTCTTGATTGGCTTATACTCGGATGCATATGAGTTATGCGTAGCCACGAGTAGGATATTGCCTTGCAAGCTTATTTTTGCACTCCCACTCAGCATTGTATCTCTTGTAGCCTGAGACGCATTCCCCCTAGGCTGAGATGGTGGAGCCTTAGTGAGGATATTATGCAAACCCTTCTCATAGAGCACATAGCCTTCTTGCACTTCCATGAGGCATAGTTTGTGCCATTAAACCTTTCAGTCTTTAAAATTTCAGCAATAAAGCTTCTTGCAGCCATGTATTCTTGTCCTAAACAATGCAAAATAACAAACTAAAATAGTGGCAACAAGAAACCCTTGCTCTGATACCAATGAAAGTGGACAATGTGAACTAGCACAGTTTATGTAGTTTAAAATTTTTCTTTTTTTAAACCGGCTAGGACACTTACATAAGTAAAAAAATTACAGTAATAAACTGAAATAAACAAAAAAGAACACAAATTTGGATTCTCATTTGCTACCACTTTAACAACTCTTTATTGCATGAACAAAAATTACATTACCATTAACTTGCGAACAAGAAACATAGATTGCAGTAAATTAAAAGAAGATAACAAAAGATTACCTTAATTAGACTTGATACACCCCACTCCTAGTCTCCTCCACCGATAGCGCACGGGATCAAGATCTTTCCTAGATCTCACAACTAAGGGAAGCCTTGGCCTGACACCCTTGAGAAATATGAGAGCAATGGAACAAGCTAGGTCCCTAGCCCTTGATCTAGTGTGTATAGGGTGTGCCCTTCTTAGGCTTAGAGAATGGTTGGGCCGTGCCACCTTTTTTTCTTTTCTCTAATATTTTTCTGAGTATGGGAAAGTTAGAGATGAGGCTAGGGAGATGAGATAGGGTGGCATGCCACTTTTTGGAGAGAGAGAGAGAGGTGTGACTTGTGGTGTATAGAAAACAAACCCCCAAAGAGATCTGTTTCAGACTTGTGGTTACGGTTAGGGTTTCCAGGATTTAGCCATCCTTATGGAGATTTGATCTAGACGATTGATCAAAGGAGATCTGTGGGGTAAGGAATATTAGCCTTAAAATTCACATATCAGCCATCATGATCTTATGGAAGGTGCTAGATCTTATCCCTCGGCTTTCTTAACCTAATCCCATCAAATATGTGATGTAGAGAAAACATAATACACTTGCCTTTTATTTTTATCAAATCTCTACACATGCTTCTTTTGAAAAGTCAATTAGCACTATTGCAAAACATTCCAATTTTGTTTTAGTCAATTGAGTGGCTTCTTACACAAGCCAACACATTAGGAAAGAGGATGAAAGAGGTGAGGTGTGCCACCCATGTGTGGGCCCCACACACTCCTCCAAAATAACCAGATAGGTGGGGCCCATGAAGTATAAGGGGCCTTCATATGATTTAATAATTTTTAAAAAGTATCATATACTTTAATTTTCTCTATGAATTATTAAATACCTGAAAATGCAGTTTAAACCTATTTATTATTTTGTTTTGAGAAAATAAAATATCTAGAGACTTCAAAAATTTATTTTAATAATCCAAAAATCAGTTATAATTAAAATAATTAATTTCTTAATTTAAATTTTGATGGGAATCGGATCCAACTTCGTTAAGAAAAATACGAAAATACTAAGGCACTCCATCTCTATTAGATACCATGTCCCACACTCACTTTCTTAAATTGACCGAATAGTTCTTATGACCCACCATCCATCATAGAGGGTCATGATTGGGCTACCAAAACTAGCCAATAAGAGATGGGAACACAATCCTAGTCTATGGATTACAGATCGCCTGGGACACGTCTAAGTCACACAGAACTGTGGATACACATCACAATTGATGCATGAGGGCTATTTCTCGGACTTGTACATGCCACACCCTCAGTGATGTTTACTTACCAATACGGCTATCATATGTATATGCCATATGATGGTCATGATGACGATTTTCCCCTCGTCCCTTTAGGCCTGCCAATCACACTCAAGGGTTACATAGTCCGTGGTCAAACTGCCCTGGGCATCTCTCCAACCTCATGAAGGGATAACTCTGCTAACCTTTCTCAGTTGTGTTATATGCCAAATTATTTTAGGGTTTTAGAGCTCAACTGGTCTAGCTCGTTAAGCCTAGTTTGAGTCTCAACATCAATATTGCCAATTGCGGTCCTTCTGGACCATACTCCCATTAGAGTTCATTATTTCACTATCATATGATTCATTGCATGCTGTCATAAGGCTTTTAAATGGCCATGAAAACCCAATGAAAAGGTATCCACATAATAGAATGGATAGCGAAACATGCACATAACCGATAAGAATTACTAGAACAATCTCAGAAGCACAAGAAAAAGGCAGGAATAGAAACCATCAAATCAATAACTGTGTTCTCCATATTGAATATATGGCTTCTCCAAGGCTCTAGTGTCCAAAGTGACATCATGTACCTTAGCATTATTCAGATATTCATCATATTAGTTTCTGTTACATTTATTTTGTTGTCCCATTATGAACATATGCAAAAGTTACATGCATTATCTCACATATATTCAGGCAAATATGTGATGCAAGTTTGTCTACATAAGATGTATCCAATTGTTTACAGTGTACTGTACTCTCTTGTTAGTAGCAGCCTGCAGCTTCTCTCAATTGTATATATGCTCTATCCTTCTCCATAATCACATCTATGGGTATCCTAAGGATATGAATCCCCTCACTTTGCTAACAAGATTTTCCTGTCTTACAGTTGGAAAGAGAAGCTGTGATCAAAGGACTGCCTGTTGGGAAAGCTCATGACATAGACATCCCTCCCCCTCGTCCTAAAAAGAAGCCAAGCAATCCATATCCTCGAAAGACTGGTATAGGTTCCGTAGGCCCCTTGACAGGTGGGATAAAGGATGGGAGTTTGTTAATGAAGGGTCCTTCTGCATGTTGTAGTAAAGCAGGACTCAATTCTGAAAACAGCCACATTATTCAGGTATATTCCTCTGTTTATTTTGCATTATTTCATATTTCTTTGATTATTTTACAGGTTCTTCCAATTTTTTTACGTATTTTTTTCCCCTTTCGGAAACAATCGATCAGGGATCGACCGAGACTGCATCATCTCAAAGAGCAAAAGAGACCTCTATCGACAACGAAAATCTGGAAGTGCTGACCCTCTCTCTTGGGGCCCCTTGTTCCTCTGTCTCCTCAGCAAGCAAGATTTCCCCATTAGTCAAGTCGAAAACCTCAACACCTACAAGCCCTGGTGCATTCAAAGAATTCATGCCCACAAAGAAGGACAGTGGTGACCAAACTCAAACCGATGAAGGCTCTGCTACTAGTAAATCCAAGAAAACCCCCAAGCCAGATAACCAAAGTGAATTGACAGAATTAGAGATTGGAAGGCCCGATCAATTGAATTTGGACTATGGATCTGCTGTGTATGTTACTAGTACTCATGTACCAGTCAGGGATAATACAGATGATTTAAAACATCCAAGAAAGCTGGAGCTTCCACGAAAGAATGACACTCAAGCTACCCAGAACTACCCTAGGCATGTACCAGTGCATGTAGTTGATGGGACCCTAAACAAGTGCATGCATTCATCTTCCTCTAATCCAACAAATTCAGTATCTACTGTTCACCAGATGGGAGTTCATGGAAACCCAAGGCTAATTGCAACCCCTAGCCTTTCTGTGACTTCAGATTCAGCAGCTTCTACCATGTGCCCACAATTCCCAATGTTCCACCCATCTTTCACCCCTTTTCATCTCAACCCAGAAGCTTATAAGCTCCTAGCTCCATCTGCCATGAACCTATCATGTGTACTCTCTAGCTACATTATAGCAAATCTCCTCCAAAACCCAGCTGCTCATGCAGCAGCCACCCTTGCAGCCTCGTTCTGGCCCGGCTTGGACTTTGAAACCCCTCTTGATGCCACCACTGCTGAAATACTCAGATCAAGTGCTCCACTAAATTATGTGGATGTTTCTCCACCAAATATAGCGGCAGTTGTAGCAGCTACAGTAGCAGCTGCTTCTGCTTGGTGGGCCTCTCATGGGCCACTGCCCCTTTCCCATCCCCATCCCCATCCCCACCATACATGCTTCTTTGCACCATCTGCAACTCTGGTCCCTGTAGCTGAACCTTCCCCTGTGTCTGAGGAGAAGAAAGAAGAGAAAAACAAGGAAAGCATGGATCAGGATGGACCTCCCTTCAAGCAACCACAGAAAGCGCAAGCCCGTGATGCAGATTTTTCACCCAATTTACAAGCAAGAATCCCAGTTTCCACAATGGCATCTTCTTCAGACTTGGAGGACAGCGAGGGAGTTGGATCTGATAATTCAAAGCCAAAAGTTTCAGAGCACGAGCAGAAGCTTCTAGCTGTAGAGGTGGTTAATGGGAAACCCAGGAAGCAGCTGGATCGATCATCGTGTGGCTCTAACGCATCTTCTAGCAGTGACATAGAGACTGATAATTTGGAGAAGAATGATGAAGGTAAGGAGGCATCCCCAGTTGCAGAGTTCTGTTATTCTGGAAATGAATTTGGTCGTCGCTCAAGGACGGCAGGAGCCATCAGCGATTCATGGAAGGAGGTTTCAGAAGGGGTAGTTTTTCTTTTTCTTTCTCGTCTTTTTTATTTTTCCTTGCTGCAATTTGTGTTGTTCTTTGATGATGCATGAATCAGCACTAATGAGATGCATTCTGCACTATACCAACATAGCGTTTCTACATTTCATAAGACGCAAATGGACATTTAGGGTTTCGACTCAACTGAATTGAGAGTTCAGAAAAAAGTTAATGCCAAGTTCACTTCTCTGAAACCCACAGCACTCAATTGGAAACTAATTTAGCGTATGAACTGGTGCTGATTGGTTGGGGCTACAAAGTGGCCAGGATGGTAGAAGGCATATTCTAAGAATATTGTCTCAGTAACGACAAGAAGGGAATCATAAAAAGATGAGCATAAACTTGGTTTGAAAAAAAAGAAACTCGTCAAAAGAAATGGCAAGATATTAAAATGCCACTAATTTATTAAAAATTGTATAACAGGTGCAAATTATTTGTGGTTTTTTGCTGTATTTGAAAGATACTTTTTTTGGTTGGTATTCTTTGTAATAGATTGTAACTTGACATCTTCAATTTTTTTGCTGTATTTATTTGAAAGATACATTTTTTGTTGGTATTGTTTGTAAAAGATTGTAACTTTACAACTTCAACTTTTAGAAGCATTTTTCAATTTTATTCGACTCTTCCCAGCAATTTCTTCAAAAACATGGAGATCCCTATGTCTGCATCAAACAACTGAAGTATGCCCACATTCACTACACAGGTACTCTTATTCAGTCTACAAAACAGTCCAAATACATCTCACAAATTTATGACCAGAGAAATAGTGCTCACATCTAAGCACAATATGCATGGTACAAGTGAACACATTTTCCTCCTTTACATTTACAGGGACGCCTGGCCTTCCAAGCATTGTTTTCTAGAGAAGTCCTGCCTCAGAGCTTCTCACCCCCTCACAATCAAAAAGACAAGACTAGCAATGCCACACATATCGATGGAGAAGTAAAGCGAAAAGACATGAGCAAAAGTTCTGACAGCAAAGAAGGAAATGTGGATCTCAACACTGCCACGTGGGTCGAGGATCACTGTACCAATGAAGATTCCTCTGATACTACAAGGGGGAATCGGCCCCAAACAGGGAGTTCTGTAAGTGAGGAAGAGAAAGGGAATGGAAAAACAGATACATTGAATGGCAAGTTGCAGGCTTGCAGAATGGGGTTTGAGCCTTACAAGAGGTGCTCAGTGGAGGCAAAGGAGTGCAGGCTTGTGGATGGAACGAGAGAGAAAGGATTGAAGAGGATTCGACTTGAACATGAATCCAACAGTCCAACCTCTGTTGGGAGCTTCTTAAAGCGAGCTCATTGCCCATCGTAGGAAGATAATGCTGGAAGTCTCCGTCGGTTAAAGTATATGCCATGTTATGCCTCTGGAACGGTGCCTTGTATTGTTATGTACAATCATTATTCAGTTATTAGTATTTTGATGATATTCAATGCAGTAAAGTTCTTTGTTTTGTTATTATCAACTTTCAGGAACAACGAAAAAATAGGCCTAAAATCCACCACCAGTTCAGATCAGTGATGTTTAGACCGGACTGGCCTGTCAAGCACTCAAACAACCAGCAGGTCCCTTGGCTGGGTGTTTAAACCGACTTTTGCATGCTACAGTCAAGACCAGTTCACAGTCGGACCAATATAGCTAGCTTGTTTTTGCTGGTTCTTTCCCCAAATTCAAAGTCTTTAATTATTTTAGCCTTTCAGCAGAGACCAACTTCCTTGTTTTTGAGTTTTGGCTGATTTTTGCCTGATCTTTTAATTTTACTATTTGTGTGATTTTCATCTGCTCACATGATGTTTTAAGTTCTAATCGCCTACTTTTTAACTCAAAATTGTTACTCCAAACTTAAAAAATTAAAGCCCAGCATAAGCATCCCTTTCTACTCTCAGTCTCTCTATGCACTAACACAACAATTATCTGATGGAATATCCCGCAGTTTCCGTCTAGAAAACATCTTGGGACTCAGATGTACACTATCATCTACGTGGAAATTTGCAAAGCCCCACTGTGAAATGGCTAAAATACCCATGCTTACGAGTATCTCTAGGAAGAGTAGGAACTGCCTCCTTTCACGGTGCACAAACTGGGCTATTTCCAGACCAAAGTCTGGCAAATCCAATGAGAGAGAAAGTTAGATATTTCTTCATTATGGTAAGTGTTTATTCAAACTTTTGAACCTTTGATGCATCCTAATTTTTTCCATTATTTTGTTTTCTATTATTTTTTGAACTTCTTATCTTGAAATTAATTTGATGGTTTTTTGTTTGTTTTTTTTTTTTGGTGGAAGTAATGGTCTGAGCAGTGGGCGGAGATCCAACTGGTCAACTAGAATGTTTGACTCGTGTTTTTTCTTTAATAGATAAATTGTAAGGGAACATATACTATGCTCCCTCGGAAGCATAGTTATACTTCTACTCCCTTGATTAGATGACCTTGAGAGGATTTTTTTCGGTCTGAATTTTGGTAACCACCTTGCAGTCACTAGATGATTATTCTAAAAAAAAATTGAAATTTGAGTTCTTTAAAACTCGAATCTCACCGTCTAAAAATTTAATGGTTTCTATTCAATCTTGAGATATTATTATTTTCAAGTGCATAGAGGCTGCAATTAGGAAGATCCTTTTTAGGGTGTGGTTTCTATAAGGTTGCAATCTTAAAAATCCAATTAAAGCGCACCACCAAAATTTATCCTAACATGTAATTTTGGTGTAAAAAATTATTAGGAATATCAGAAAATTTATTTTCATATCTAATTATAAAATTCGAAAGTCATAAACTGGTTAAAATCAAGTCGATCTAGACATTGAAAATTTTTGAAAATGGGTGGTTTAGATAATCTGTTGCAAGATGTATTGTTTTTGGGACTAAAAATATATATATTTTTTTTCATATTCATACATCTCGAAGTCGAAATTGTTTTCAACATTAAACTTCGAGATTATTTTCAACATTAAAACCTCCTTTTCTGATTGATTTTTGAGCTGCATGTGTAATTCTGTATTTCAAGGTTGCAACCTTATATAAACTTTTTCTTTCTTTTATTGAAGCTAATCTACGTGTTAAAGATGTTATATCCCCAAAATTTGGGGTGTGCAGTATACTCCTGAGGTAGTAAAATATCTTTTGACAAATTATAAAGTCAATGAGTAGGATTGGAAAGTAACGGTGGGTAGATGAAACCTTGTAAGTCAAGCGGTGCGTTTCTTTTTCTTTTTTTAGTGCTTTACATTTCTCAACCAGATGATATCTTTACACTTAATATGGTGTAACTTTAAAATCTCATAATGTAACCCCATGCTTTTCCATGGGGATCTTCTCTCTCCTTAAGATCTGAGGGTTAGTTTGTTGACCTACTGGGCTTTCTCTAGCATGCTTACTCAGTTTCTTATCACCTTGAACCATAATTAACGGAGTAAGTTTTCTCGTAAATATTATTACAAAATCTAAATATACAATTTAAAACAAATTATTCTAATATCATGTTTGAAGTAGTTAATTAGTGAAAATAAAACTATTTTGTTTTGGAAAAATATATAATTAAATAATTTACTTTTGCTACAAGGTAGTCATAATTGATCTTGACCAATGGATGTGAAATTGGATTGTTGCATTTATTCCATTGATCAAGCTCAAACCTCAAAATAAATTTTCTGAAATTTTGTTACACACCCAAGCTATTAGATTTCATATAAGATGGTTGTAGCTAATTGTGACCTTGTATAAAATGCAAATGGTCTCATTATATACAATCCCTTTCATTTTTCTTGTAAAAACAATTGGAAAGTCCCTTTTCAAACTTAGGAAGAGAAGGCTAGTTATGGAACTAAACTCTCTTTTAGGCATTCCCTACCTACCCTACAACCTCATCTATACCTTAAACCAACCCAACAAACCCATGATCCACAAGTCTCTATGCGAAGGGCTCATAATTGATTTATCAAAGTTGATTGAGGCTTAGAAGTGCTGCAACACAGCAACAAATTCCATGTGTATCACATAGACCAAGACAATACTGTGTTATCCAGGTTTATTTCTTCAGTGTATAGAGAGTCATCTCTCTTCATTGTATGAGGAGTCATGTCATGTGCATGCTACCAATCCATTATCAAAGAACACGACTAGCAGCAGTAGTCAAGCCGGGTACGAAGTTGTGTTGAGGCACCATCCTAATACACTGATGTTTTATCTCTTGGTTAAAATATAATCCACCATTGGGCTATACCGACCTTGACATAATACCACATTTGACCTCTTTGTTGATGCGCATCACAAGGACTAAGCGTATGTAGCCTAGGGTGTGAGTGAACTCTTCTAGCCAAGCCCTAGTTTTACACCAATATAAAGAGTGATGGAGGTCATAGCGTCCCAAATAGAGGTAACTTCAACCGGCTCTAATGTCCTATTTGATCTAAGTAGAATAAACTCATGCCCACACTCTAATAGCATGTTTCACCCAAGTAGAGCTCATCTACCCTACTGACCTATTTCTTCCAAGTAGGGTAGGTTCACATGGCTTTTTTCATCCATGCGAGTCTAACACTCTACTCAAATAGGGAAAGTTCAATCAAGGGGAAAACGAAAGAGCCTTTATGGAAAGGACCGTGTCAAGGCCTTCTTTACACGTAAAAAATTGAGCCGAGATTACTCAATGTCTACTCAACCTGATTTTAAAAATTGAAATCATAGGAAGAGTTTTTAAAAGGTTTCGAAAAAATAATAAACATTAAAAATAAAATAAAAGAATGGCTTACTTGGTGACCAAGCCCACAGGCCTGACACCTACAGTTGGGCCCGGATCAGGTGAAAATGTTGAGATATCCTTCTCCTCAATCTTCAAGAATGACTTTAACAAGAGATTATCTTGAATTGGAAAAGGGGATTCAGACCTAGGGTTTTATCTTGACCTTAATTAATGGCTTGGGGTTTTTGGTTTAATAACTATTCGAATTTCAGGGAACAGATGACCTAGGATTAGGGTTTCCAAGGCCTAAGAATGAGAAGATCAAATAAAGCTTAGGATTCTAGGTTTTGGTTGTGGAAGCTGTCCTAAAATGGTTTATTTACATACAAATGTTTCCAATTACTGGAATCTCCATGACAGATTTGGGTCGTTGGTGCCTTAGCAGTCCGCATCGCTGAGCTCGTTACGCCCTAAAGTTTGTGCAAATCCCTACTGTTTCCTTTATTGTGAAGACGGATTTTCCCTTGTACTGTGCCCAGTTTTGGTAAATTCAGATCTTCTGCCTTCTTGAACTTGAGAAGTAGCCATTTTTGGGTGATGGCTTCCTAAATGGTGTTTTGGGGTTTTTCGATATTTTTGAAGGATGTCCTAGGGTGTATGGAGTATGATTATGATACATTACGCTTTATTAGGCTAATGTGGTCCCTAATGGTTTATAGTTATGGGTTCCTAAGAATTCCCTTAACCAAAATTAGAGGGGTCTCTACAAGTAAGGCCATAAAACCCCAATGAGCTTGAGAGTAGGTAGTGATTGTGAGTATTATCTAGGCGTGCCTATAGTGGAAAAGGAAATTTATTCCCAACATATATCCAATCTTTAAGTGAGATCTTTCTAAGTTTTTCTTAAATACTGTCAACTCATAAAGAGGCAGAGAAAGTTCACGGTATTTTATTAAGGAAATATAGGGATGTATTTCATTAAGGAAATGTAGAAGTATAAATATACTTTATGTGACAATGGCTAAGGAAATAGATCCACAAAAGAAAGAAACTATCCCAACACATAAGATTTATACGTATCATACAATGTATTTTTAACACAGTAACTGAAGTTTGAATAATAAGTAGCGAAATCATGCCATAGGATGAGTCTTTGTGAGTAGATCAGCCAATTGGTGTTCTGAATGAACAAAGGGAAGTGTAATAGTTCCTTGCAAAAAATGACTTTGAGTGGAGTGGCAATCAATTTCAATGTGCTATGTTCGATCATGAAAAACATCATTGTGAGTTATTTGAATAGCAATTTTATTATCACAAAAAATAGATGAAGGGCTAGAATGAGAAACACCCATCTTAGAGTAACCATCATGATAATTTCACAAGTAGTATGAGCAAGGGCACGATATTCAGCTTCCGCACTTGAGTGAGCAGCTACATCTTATTTCTTACTTTTCCAAGAGGCTAACCAGGTGTTTGATGGAGAAGATAATAGATCCTAAACACGAGGCCCTGTCTATTTGCCTGAAACTTGCTCAAATTCACAGATAGATCTAGCCATTGATGCTTATTCAGAGTTGATACCATGTCAACTCGTAAAGAGGCAAAAAAGGTTCATGGTATTTCATTAAAGAAATACAGAGGTATAAATGCACAGAGGTTAATGAAATACAGGGGTATAAATGCACAAAGATTGTTATATGTGACAGATGACACATATCTATACAAAGAGAAAATAAATCCCCAAAAGAAGGAAACTATCCCAACATATGAGATTTACACACATCACACATTATATTTTCGACAAAAACTTTTTAACGGTCGAATGATATTTTTAATGGTCTCTATCTTGTATTGTGTTTTGTTAAATCAGACAATGACATTTCTAGAAATATATCATGTTTAAATAAAAGACTTTTTTGAAAATAAACTTTTGTTTTATTTAGTTTTTAGTTTCTGGCAGTTAGTTGTGCAATATGGTAGTTATGTGACCACGTGTGGGCCATCCGATGGACCACATTGGACCACTTGGGCCCACTCTAATGGGACCTCTCATAACCTTCCCATGAATGGTTAGGTGCGTGGAACTTACAACCCACTAACCATCTCGTCCTCACCAAGAAAGTTTTGGAAAAGACTGAAAACCTTAATGGGCTATTTGGATATCTGGAAGTATATTGTTTATGAAATATATTAATGACATAATAGATATACATGCAAATGGATTGTTACTGTTTGGGTAATATTTAGATGTAACCTGGGAAATACATTGCTCTTGTTTGGCTATGTCTAGAAGAAATATAGGAAATGCACTACCAACATTTTACCAGCACCTACCTAAATGCGGAATTAAAATCATCATCATACCATTCCAAAAGTATTTTTTAATAATAACATCATCACCATTCCAAAAAGATTTTTTAATAATAACTTGTATCATTTTAAAATCATCATCACACTATTTCCTACTTATTTTGTATGCCTTTGGCACTTGTGTGAATTTCCTACTTATTTTGTATGCCTTTGGCACTTACATAGAATCACGTGTTTTCTAACATGATTAGACTTTGATTTCAACATGATAAGTCATTGGAATAATATGATTGGAATAACATATTTTTATTGTGATAAACTTTATTTTTACTTATTTTTTATAGAAGTCTTACAAATGTCTCTATATAATTTCAAATAAGTAATAAATTTATGATACCAAATTCAAAATATTTATGGTACAAGTTAAAAAATGAGAAGAAATTTGATTAGTAAACTACAAGGTTTGGTAATTGCGGTAGAAATTTTTGAGTCATTGGAGGAGACTGAAGAATAGGGCTTATCGACACCAAAATAACTAGTTAAAGAGAAAGTGAGCACCTTATGCAAACCAGTTATTAGAACGCTAGAGAAGGAGTGAGCTTAAAGAGGGAAGGAGCACCAAGAGCAAGCTTAAAGAGGGAGGGAGCAAACTAGTTACTAGGGCTCAAGAGAGAGGGCCGATAGACTTATGGCTCAAGAAGAGAGAGAATAGGGCTTAAAGAGGGAGGGAGCAAACTAGTTACAAGGGCTCACAAAAGAGAGGGCCGATAGTTACTAGGGCTCACGAAAGAAAGGGCCGATAGACTTATGGCTCAAGAAGAGAGAGATTAAGGCTTACAAGTGATTATGGCTCAAGAAGAGAGAGAATAAGGCTTACATGTGAAAAGAGAGAGAATAAGGCTTACTAGTGAGATCGCTTTGGTGAAGAAAGAGAGTAGAGAGAGAGTAGGGCTTACCAATGACAAGAGAGAGTAGGGCTTACCAGTGAGAAAAGAGAGAGTAAGGCTTATCAGTAGGGTAAGGCTTATCAGTGAAAAGTATCCTTTGGTAAGTGCGTCAGACAAGTTTGAAATTCTCCAAAGATTTCTCGTCAGTCCGCGTAATAGATTTTTCACCCCCTCACTCAAATCTCGATAATCTTGGCTAATCTTCTTCTTTTCACCCCTCACCGCCTGATGCGTAATTGGATTCGGCAATTTTAGAGAAATCTCAATAATCTTGGCTAATCTCCTTCCATCTCACCACCTTATGCATAATTGGTTTCGTCATTTTTGGAGAAATCTCGATAATCTTAGCTAATCTCCTCCCATTTCCATAATATTAAAGTGTACCCAAACGATTCCATAATATTAAAATGTACCCAAACGATGTAAATGTCATATTTCCTTGTAACCTATTGTCTGTAATAGATTTCTCTTCCCATTTCCATAATATTAAAGTGTTACCAAATAGTAGAGTATTTGGAGGAGTATTATGCAAAAAAAAGTACTTCTTTTTTCTTCAAGTGAGTGAAGAACGCTTGTACTCATCAGCTGTACTCATCAGCGCTAAAGCTTGCTCTACAATTACCTAATTCGAACAATTACCTAATTCAAATTCCCAATGGTAAGGACTTTTGCCTTACAGTCCTAAGGAAACAATTAGGGAAGTGGAGAGTCCTGGGGCAGTAGCAATATTGCAGAAATCAATTGTCTTCAAGGCCCTGCGACAACAATTTACCACGTATATTAAGAGTGCGGTGCCCTATCTGTTTTCCGCTGAATTCGACCATGTATGAACATGATCATGTGTCTACCTTCATGGCTTGATCATGACCATGGCGGCAAAATTATCCGTGCATATTATTTCCTTCTTGTTTTCTTCTCTTTTTCTGTTTTATGATAGGAGAAAAGGGATTGCACATGTAAGGTTTTATGCATTATAGAGGAAATCCATAGAAGATACAAAAATTGTTGAAATACAAAATCCAGCACGAACCACGCAACGAACATTTGAGGGATATGTGCCATAGAAAATCCATGTCAAAGAAAATCCATTTGTAACTGCATTGATTTATATTAGTCCATGTCAAGCACATTTCTGTAGCTAAAAAAAATAAATCATTTTGCCATTGTAATATACACACCATGGCATAAGTATCATTATTTATGAGCTTCTATAAGTCTTGAAATGTAGTCATAGCGTTCCTTTAGTTTATCTATGTACACATGAATTCTCTGCTGCTCAGAAACAGATAAAGAAAAGCGTGGTCTCAATGGCAGGGAAGGTGCTTCTTTCACAATGAATCTAAATAAACTTATGGCTTTCGAGTAGGATGCTACTGCGTTGCTCATGTCTTGCAGCATCTCATAACCCTGCAACCAAAGATGGCAACAATGTAGATCACAGTATAATCATGAGGATAAGAAAACAAACCATTTCATCCATGTTATGCGTCACCATGCAAACATTCCTATCCAATGGAAAGAGAATTTCAAGCTAATCTGTCAAATTTGAAACTATTGTCCAGCTGTAGATTGACAATAAGATGAAGATAATAAGATATCAATGGCAGATCATTACAACTAAGCATCTCTTAAATGTCAAATAAAAGAAAACAGCATAGAGAGTGCAATGCTTCACATACACCGATTGAACAGCACAGAGTTGATACTTTGGTTTCCTTTGTGCGTACAACTTTGAGAGTGCATGTTAGCAATTTAAGCACATAATCGACTACTGCTCATATGAAATACAGCATAACCAACATGAGATACAGAATAATCAATTCATTATTGGGTATCAAATTCAATCAAATATGCTACTATCTAAAAACGTAAGAATAAATGACTCACCCCACCCTTTGCCCCAGCATCTTGTGCAGCTTCATAAATAATAAACATACCATCTGGCATCTTGTCATCATCTAGCATACAACAAACAGAGCGATTTATCAAAATACCCATGAGAGATAGACAATTTAACATTTTACCCACATTATTTAATTTAATTTCAAAATACACTTGATCATGAGCTGGAATAGTTGCAGTAAGTGTAAAATGTTAAATAATGCATCTCTGATCACTATTTGGATAAATTTCCCTAACAAAAGAGAAGTCAGTGGAAATAAATTTATGGAAAAACATTTTATTGCTAACAATTGTACTACAACAAAGTGTAGAAAACTGATAAAATGTCGAGATCAATGTTTTTAAACTCAAACTCAAGAGTAACTCAGCCAAGTCTGAGTAGACTCAACTGAGTCCTCTATAGGGACAAAATATTGTTAAAAATAGTTAGAAATCAGAAAAATCTAAAATAAGTAGTAAAAATAAGTAAATATCTATAAAACATGGAAAATTTATATTAAAAATTGATTTATATCCTGAATTATCTCAGAAATATCAAAAAAAAGGAAAATAAAAATGGATGTGGTAACAAGAAAAGTAACCAAATCATCATAAACACCATAGAAGTTATATAAAAATAAATCTCTAAATCATATTATAGTGATTTTTAACAAAAACTATAATTTTCTTTTGAGTTTTAAATCTAGGTGAGTTGTCCACTGAAACTCGCCCCGGCCGAGGCTGAGTTACATGGTCAAGTCCAAGTGGACTAGGCCGAGTCTTGAAACACTGGTTGAGATGAATAGTAAGAAGATAGTCCCATCCATGTTTGCTAACCTTTGGGATTCCATCCCGCTTTTGTTACCTCTATATGAGGAGCCAATGTTTTTCCCAAGTACATGTTTTTCTAATCAAAAGCAACAAAACAAATAGAAGTATGGAGCATGCCAAGAAATATTACCATTCTTTACGTAATTGCCAGCCTCTTCAGCTCGAGTAATTGCCTCAATTAATCCCTGCCTCACCCATAAGCACACAGATGCAGGGCTGCTGAAATCCACATCCTTGTGCATGCTTAAAGACGAGGATCCCCCTTCATTTTGTGCTTTTCCGATAAGTGAGCTTCCGCCTTCATGGGCTTGAGAAGCTTCACGAGCCAAAGCATTCTTGATGGATTCTCCCTTTGAAAGTGACTCAGCCCAGGATTTGGATGCATTGTTACATTTTGTCCATACCTTCAAGGCTACAAGATGAACCACAAAAGCTTCTCGATGCAACTGCATTTTCCCTTGACACAACCCTTCTTCAGTCTGTAAAAGCGCAAAATATTATCAAAATACATCGAACTTGATTTCAATTTATAAAAGTCAAACAAATCCAGTTGTCAGTTTTCTTTTTGATATTGTAATAGATATCTTAAACAACAAACAATCATGAAATGACATATCAATAATATTTTATCGTGAATTGCTGTTTGCAGATATGAATTTTGGAGTAAACTTCAAAAAAATATTTGAGTACATTAGTCTACATGTATTCATGCCCACCATCTTATACTTTGCTCACCCTTAGATTATTATTCCCCATAATTAGATGCTAACTTCCCCAAGGGGAATATGTCTATCAGTCGGGATCAAATGAAAGCCTTCATCCATGTACACCATCTCATAGAAAATCCCATGGGGTTAAGATAATCAAAGAAACCCCAATCTAGGTGATCAAAACCTTCTCCAAGTTTAGCTTGTAAATGAGGCCTGGGTTCACTAGAACCTGGAGTCTATGCTAATTAATGGAAATTAAATTTCATTGTGCAAGAATTGAATGTCCAATGCAGTGAGGAGATTATGAAGAAATTACCTAGCATAGTGGAATGGACCTTTGCTAGCATGCTATACCCACTACTAACTCAGCTATGGGTCTTATCAAATGGCAATGCCAATAAAAACGAAGCTAATGAGGTGATAGATTTTGATCTCTTCTACAACTGCTGATTTTAGTGATGAACCCAAATGGACGTCAAAAAGATACCAAGTAACATCATACCCTTTAGGGCCTGTTTGGATGTGCTCGTTATCATTGATAATTCACTGTCTCAATAAAATTAATCATAATAATAAATTATTTATTGTTTGGCAGCGGTCATATAAAGTTATCTACGATGAACTTAAAGCAGTTTTGCATACTCCTTTTTGAAAAGCTGCTCTTATTTATGCAAAGTGATTTGCCGAAAATCACATTTTTGTAGACATAAATAGTTGAAAATAGCTAGAAATCACCAAAAAAGTTAATAATTAAATGATAGTATACATAATACAAGGAACATACCAAACGGCTAACAATATAATATTACACAGGGTAGTATACTCCAAACAAAGTCATCCAAACAGGCCTTAATCCATGCAGGCAAGAATGGAGCAAGGCTAGGAGACTGCAAGAGAGTAAGGAGTGGATCACCCCTAAAGTAACACGAGAGAACTCAGGATTGAGGGGGAACTTTGAAGGGACTTGTTCCCACACAGCCAACCAAAAGAGATTAGCCAACAAAGAGAGAGGTCCTTTCAAATATCAAGTTGTCTAGGAATTTGAGTGAGCTTAAGGAAAGATGGTGTGTCTATAGGACAATTCTATTTGCATGAAGGTTCCACGAGCAGTGTAAAACCATAAACGTAAATTCCAAGAAAAGGGCAATTAATATCAAGCAAAAATGTTTGGCAATGCAAGGATCTGGAAAGGCCTTTTCAGATTTGGAGCTATCTCAAAAGGAACTCTAAGAAAGATTGCATTCTTGAGAGCAGTGTTTCTAAAGCGGACCGCCCAGCGCCTGGGTGGCCACCTAGGCGGTTCTGGGGGCTTGGGCGAATCACCCAGGCCCAAGCGCCCAAAAAAACCAGATATCCCTGGGTGCCCGCTCAGGCGCCCGGGAACCCGCCTAGGCGGCCGCTGCGGCCGCCCAGGGGCGGAAATGCCCCTCGTTGAAGGTTTTTTTGGGTCATTTTTTTAATATTAAAGGTGCAAAATTGTGGGTTTTGGATTCATTTGAAAACTAAAACCTATTAGAGCCTATTTTAGAAAGAGAAAAACCCCCTTAAAAAACAAAGGTTTCTACTGGGCCGCTTAGGTTCAGGACGCCCGCCTAGGCGTTGGGCGGCCTGGACCCCCCCGACCGCCTAGGTGCCGCCTAGCGTTTTTTGAAATACTGCTCAAGAGATTGACCTGGGTGATGAAATTGCAACTATTTGGCATAATATCGACCAATAAACAAATAAAACGTTGGATTCCTAACTCATACAGTATTCATGATGGGAGTATAAAAAGGCCCTAGGCAGGTGCCACTAAGCTCATGGACCAGTTAGTAGACCTCATTAATTAGCAAGATGGGGGTAGCTTGGCATCCAACAAAAGGTCATCAGCATGAAACATCTCTGAAAGATTCAAGAACACCTTACTTAGCTCTTCAAACTCCATGGTTGTGGAAAATGAGTAACAAGTTGAAGGGAACTTCTATATGAAGATATACCTAGAGGTCTCCTGGTGAAGCATAATTTACACAAACACATGGCAACAAGATGAAGGGTGTCTCATGACAATGGCTGGAAAATGAGAAGCCAGGAAATCAAGTGGAAAGAAATCCACGTTCTTATAGAATTACCATGGGTTCAAGGATGTGATTGTGGGGAGGCTCACAAGAGATCATCAGACATTTTTGTGATATTAGGTGGCTTTAGTGCCCCTCATATCCTTTCCATATGGCAACTTCTTAACATCCTACAATAGTTACTGATGATCATTAAAACTAATTGAGGTCTTAAGAAAGATCAAGTTCACTGCATAAACTATGATTGCATTTCATCAATTAGTCATTGACCATTAAAATATGTAATCCCACTTGTGTTCCCATGTTGCCAGCAATAGAGATAAAAATATATCAAACTAAAGATGGATTACCTTTTGCCTTGCTAGTTCTGAAAGAAGGTGAGCGTACTTGTACAATAACTGGATCCTCTTCAAAGGTGGCAAAGTTGATGGTTCATGCACATCATCTGATTCAGTTGATGTTCCAAATGTCAATGCTTGATATGTTGATGATTCAGATGTTGCTGATGGGGGCAAACCATGGCTTCCCAGATTACTGATACCACATACAGAGCTAACACTTTGCTCTTCAATTTGCAATGGTGCAGAGGCTACACCCTTAGTCCGTCCACATCTATGGAGCTGGGCAGCAAGTAGATATTGTTCTGAAGTCCCATAAGAACTGGAAATCTCCAATGAGGAAATATGCGCATTCACCAGAACATAGTCTTGCTCGATGCTCTCCAAAGAGTCAACTAAAACAAACATGATCATATAGCATTAGCTATAAGATAAAAAGGGTCATGATGATCAAGAATAATTATGTACAGGACATAGGAAACTGACCATTTGATGTGGCTGTAACTAAAAGTCCTTTAGGGGCACTGCCACTTTCTGAGTGCTCCACATTTAATGACCTCACTGGATTCGGAATTTTGAGACAAATTCAGTCAATTTCATTCAATTTTATTCTTTAAAGTTTAAAGAAATAAAATTCTGAAACAACATGATAACGTTCAAGATAATTAGTCCAGAATAGGCCAATCTCAATCAAAATTCAAAGTTTATATGGAGAATGGGGCATATGAATGCCAATTTGGGTCAATGCCAAATTTTCCATGGGCAACATACTCATATATAAAGCCATTTAATGCATGAAAATGCCCTACAGGAAAGCAAACCTTTTATAGGTGAAGAAGGATGCCCTTCAGACATATCCAAAGAGGTGGATGGTGCCAAGTCCACTGCAGACCCCACTACATGTGTAACTGGAGGCATGTCTTCTGTTATTGGTGCCTGATGCTGGAGAACCTGCAATGGCCTAATTTGGAAAATCAGGGGATTTGACTACACAATTAGGGATACACTGGTATCGCCATTTTCAGAAGAAATAGCTCCATAACAACAAAAGTTTATCATGAGCCTCCAAAGGAACTAATAAAACAGCAGTTAAAAAAAAAAAAATACAAACCTAAGAGCCAAGAATTTGTGATTGAAGAACTCCTCGAATGTTAATCGCTCAACTGCAACATATTTATACTGTCAATACATAATAAACCTTCTTTTTTTTGGATTGAGTGTACTTGTTAGCTCTCCACTAAGTGACATTAAAATAGCCAACTAATTACTGGAGCTTGTATTCTTTTTTTCCTTTTTTCTGATAGAATTGTAACCCCTGGTAGCTTTAGAAAAAGAACGTTCAAACTTTCACCATGTAAAAGTGAATAAGAAGCAAACAGGTCAAGGACAAAACTGACACAATTTTACTCGCATCTAAAAGACACAATTTTACTCGCATCTAAAAGACCGTATAAACTGATATTTACAATCAACCAAATATGACTGCAGAAAAAAATTCAGTTTTGCATATAGAAGCAAAATAACTTTTGTTTCTATTTAGCAGTAGCATAAAACTGTACTTAAAGATTAAATCCTTTTTTACTTGCCCCTTTCTACCAGCACCGCTCCAAGAGCCTATCTGATATATAAATTTGTTTATTAGTTGAACATTGTGATATATGCTAATACATAGAAATCATTAGGAGCATTGAGAAAGTTGGACATTTTGATATATGCTAATACATAGAAATCATTAGGAGCATTGAGAAATTCTAATGTAAGATACAGTTTGCAGACCGAGTTTTTTCTATAATTCAAGAAGGAATAAATCACTCTTCATTGGGAATATCGCCCTTTTCATTCTTAATGACTTGTAATGTAGACAAGTTCTTCATTTCTTGTACCAGCATATTTCTAGTATTCCTACTCAGACTGATGATGACAAAAAAGAAAAATGAATCATTGGGAGGCACATAAATGCTTAATGCTAGACTGCAATACAAAAGAAGTGCCATTATATTTACCAAAATTTGATCCTAGGGCATGCTAAAGGATGATAACCATTTTAAAGCAACAATATATATATATATATATATATAAGTGTTAGCCTGAACTCCACCTGGATTACGACGTAAAAGGCTTCTACACATATCAATGCAATCAGGATGTAGGTTCCTAATAACATCTGGTGGAAACTGCAAATCAGTAGACTTCAATATGTTCTGGAAAAGCTGAAAAAAACAAAAAAACAAAAAGTAGAACAAATTAATAAATGGATTAAGAGAACCAGTCTACTAACTAATCATCAACTGCAAATCTTCTAGAAACCTGAAATTGGTTATTTCCTTCAAATGGAGGTTTCCCTGTCAATAGCTGGAAAAGGATTGTACCGACACTCCACAAATCTGCCTGCAATAGCACAAAAATGAAAATTACTTAACGTTTTATTCATAAAAATGGTTGTTCTCAGACAAAGGTTTCAATGATTTACAGGTCACCAATAACCCAGAAGGACGACATTTTCAAGAAAAATGAATGATAATGGAAATTGCCTATAAAACCTTGTGCATATACAGCATTATCCAAGAGAAAAGAAAATCATGCCACCTTTGCATCATATTTTTGGTTCTGAATTATTTCGGGAGCCATATATAAAGGTGAACCACACAACGTTTCTGCCAATCCTTGAGGATGCAGATGCCTGCCAAAATATATTTAAATATTCTCAGCGCAATAAGATATAGAATAAAAAATGGATGAAGCAATTTCAAATGAAACCCCAGTGAAAACAAAACTCTTCAACCCTAACTCTTACCTGGCGAAACCAAAATCTCCAATCTTTAGCACTGGGTTTTCATTATTTGATGACAACAAAAGATTCTGCAAATCACTAGTACAAGTCAAATCCATGCACTGAAAACTTAGTCAAGAAAGATCTGATACCCTTTGAAAACAAAAAACCCTATCCTGACGTTCATGAAAATCCCAATTCGCAAGCTGGTGAAGTTCATGAAAATCCCAATTGGCAAGTTGGTGACCTACATTACCTCCAACAGACCACATACCAGGAATATAAGAAGATTTCACATAGAAATGGATAAAATACATCAAACAGTGCCTAGTGACGATCCCAAAAAGTAGATATTTTTCCCTTCCATGAGTTAGCATATGAATTAATCTAAGACAGGGTTTTAACAGGTTTCATATGAGGATTGGACAAAAGTTGGGATGAGCTTCCATTAAAAAAGGGAAGTATTGTAGCTCCAATAAGAAAGTGCACTAAAGAGATGAGACTACCAGCCAAAGGAAATGGTATAAAATAAGAGATTAGATAGCTTTTGGGGAATCGTAGCTAGGTTTGGATAAAATCCCTTTTGTAGTGGCTACCATCCTCCTCTTCTTTGCTTGCTTTGAAAAGAAGCAAGCAAAGACAATGATTTTGAAAAAAGAAAATTTATTTGCTTGCTTTTTATATGAAACAGTTGGAATGTTACATACGGTCTTACCCAATAGCAAATAAGATGCAAGCATGTGATCATTGATTGGAATCCTGAATCACAGCCTTCCTTCTCTGGTACATGTGGTATATAAGGTTAAACTCTTAGAGATGAGACAGTTTCAACAAAAACACGATCGAACAATGCAAAGAAAACATCCTCATTATCTCCACTCCATGTTACCCTAATGTCTAATATGGTACCTTATCAGCTGGTAGATGGATTGAGCAGTAATATATTTGGCAAAGTTGGAGTTCCCTTAACCAACTGGGTTAGAGGAGCATTCCTTCATCAATTATGCTATAAGCAGGACTAAATAGAACTGCCACAATGTGAAGTTAATCAAGCCCAAGTTTCTCTTGCTCAACATAAGCAGCGTTCCACAAGACAATGCCACAGCCAGGAGCCATATGGTTTAAATAGGTTCTAGAATCGTAGTGATAGTGAAGTAGATAACAAATATGAGCAATTGCCAAAAGAGGTGAAATAAACATTTGAAGATGCAACATGCGAGTCATCATATAAATTTTAAAAAGAAAGGAAAACAAAGAATATCCAGAACTTCAACCTTGAGGACAAGGTTCATTTGGAGCATCACAGAATGTCAACATTCCAAGAGATACGGAATTTTTTTTTCATATTCTAAGCCAGCTTCCAAATTAATTTGGTATAATGGTCGGCCAGGTTTTATTTGAGGCTTGGACCGAAAGTTGGGGTGAGTTGGCGTTCCAATAAATTAGGAATAACCAACAAAAAGAGGTAACTCAAGAGATTAGGTATCTCTTTTTGAGGATCGCAGCTAGTTTTCTACGAAAGCCCTTTGAAGTGGCAGCCATCTCCTTTTCTTCTTCATCATCTTTTGATTTTCTTCAGTTGTAGAACTATCATTGGATTGAGAAAAATGTACCCATTTGCTGGATTTTCTTGTGTCAGAGTGGACAGGTTTCATTGATTTACTTACATTTTACAAATTTCAGACGATTTAAAGGAGAAAAGAACTAAGCAATGGTGCAACATTGCTAATTAATTATATAATGTAAACCACAGAATCAGGAAAGTGGCCCTAAATGTTGACTAGAAGAAAATTATCACAAACATACCACCAGAAATATTTCAGAGAGGAAAACCACTACAAACACAAGTTAAATTAATATCCGCATTTACAATTCCAAAATACACATATAAACATAATTTACCCAAAAACATTCCAAAATAAACATATAACTAAAACCAAATCTATCATGATAACCGACTGATTCTTTCTTGATTATGTGATAATACAATCAAGGTATGAACCGCAATCACTCATCATGAACCCCCATCAAGTTAAATGAGTCATGCCCGTTGCAGAACTTAACATTAGTATCATCCTAGCAGAAAGAAATAAACATCAAATAGACTGAAATATGTACAAAATATAGGCCTAAGAAATGATTACCTGTGGTTTTAAATCTCTATGGATAAGATTGTTTGCACGAAGAACTTGTAACCCTAAAGCTGCAGGCGTTAAAGAAATTAAAATGCACGGAATCAATGATTTGTCTTCAATGCCTATAATCTTAAGAATAAATCAAGCAAAATCTCGTAAGATAAGAACAGATGCCAATGGCCCCAACAAGGCATTATTAGAGAATAACCACTCAATTAAATTTGTTATGTTAGGACATATCACCAACTAAAGTTATATACCTAAATGCCTCATAAAGTGCCTAGCATTGTCCTCTGCAACTCTTCCATGGTGTTGAATGTATGCAGCAAGATCACCCCCAATACAAAACTCCATTACTAGGAATATTTTGTCTTCAAGCTGCCAGATTTCCATAACACCAAATGAATGCATAAGCTATCCTACAAATCGACAGGAATATACTATAGATGCAATGATAAACAGTCTCTCATGCATAGTTATAAAAATATGAACAATGAAACAGTAATATTGCAGCCTAGCAACAAGAAGATTGTGTTTCATATCCAATCAGTTAATCATCAGATTGAGCCAAAAAAAGAAATAGAGGCAGAAACGTGGATGAGGAAAACACCAATAAAAAAGCAGAAAACAAGACATCTACGGGAAGTAGAAATAAATGTAATCTTGCAGTCTTTATTTTTCCTGGTTCTGATTGCATGCCATAAGTCAAGCGTGGGTCAGTTCAGCGCAAGTTTGTCAAGCGAGATGAAGTTAAGTTGAGCAAGAAAGTTATAGGTTGAACAATAGATGATTTTAATAAGAAATCAAAATGTCACAGGTTTTGTATTAAGAGGGAAAAGGAATTGGGTCATGGACGTTGACTCCCAAGTGTTAAGGGCTCCAACCATGACAATGGCATGTCCACATGTCCGAGATGATACCACTCACAACTATGTTGTAAATGTAAGTCAAAAACCCACACATAAGCAATGGTATCCATGGGTTAGAACTAATTGGAGCATATTATTGAAAGTAGGTCAACTCATTGTGCAGTCTAATTGGCATAGTATGCACATTCTTTCAAAATTTTAGGCCTGTAGAGAAAATCGTACCCTGCAGGTTGTCAGTTCTCCTTAACTATTTCTCTTCAATACAAAATTACCATATAGTGAGAAGAATTGAACCAAAGATAGTTAAAAGTCCAAGTATCTCTCCAGAAAGTCACGACTCGAGCAAGTTTAATCCAGGAAAACAAGATAAAATTTAAATTCATTCATCTACACAGAGATAACTATTCACTTTAACCAGCAGAAGAAGACCAATATCACGAGAATTCTGTTGGAATGGTGATACAAAATCACATTTAATGGTATATCAGTCTCTCTTGGAGGGCATTTTGGTTACAGCAAAGTTACTTTAAGTGAGGGCTTTTCAAAGCAAATTTGTAGAGAGAGAAACATATTGAGCAAGAGAGTTTTGGTGTAAGAAGGGATTGGAGATTTTGCTCATCTAATGGAAAAAACCTAACCATTGTTATGCCCTTTATTAGGCAGGTTTCATCGTGTTTCCTTGTGTCGGAACCAGTCAACTATCAAAGAAATGAGTCGATTGATGGTATTCTTATGGTAAGGGAAATCAAATTGCGTTTTATTTGCATTGTGAGGTAATCGCTATGATAAATATAAAAGTCGTAATTTTTCTTCCTTGATAATGAATAATGTTGCCCATTTAGGGTGAACCACGTAAATTTGTGTGCTTTTGGTTTGTGTTTGTGTTGTGAATGTTGGATTCCCATTTTATTTACTTTTGGTTGTTTCCATATTCTTTTTTAAATCAGCTTGTTGGTAATTGGCAAGTTGGCATCAAGGTATTTGATTTATTGTTATAAGGAGCTCACCACATCAAGTAAAAAGTAGAGTTGTCTCGGTTGGCCAGCAAGTGGTATAAGAGCTCAAGGAAGCCGTATGGTGGTTTTGGAAAAATGGCAACTCATAAGTTTGAGGTGAAGAAATTTGATGGGGAAAAAATTGAAAATTGAAATTTAAAATGCAGGATTATTGGCATGCCAATGCCAACAAGAGGCATTACTAGGAAATATAAGAAACTGACAAATATGAAGGGACAATGATTTGGAGTAATTCGATATGAAGACATGTGCCACCATTCTCTAAGGTTTAACAAATCAAGTATTGTCTAATACTGTTGGGATAAAAAGGGCAAAGGATCTATGGGCAAAGCTAGAAAGTTTGTACTAAACAAAGTCCCTCATGGATCAAATCTTCGTACGAAGAAAATTGTATTCGTTGAGAATGGAAGAGGGTGCAAAAGTATTTAAACACTTGAATGAGTTCAACATCATCTGCCAACTTGAAGTATCAGCGTGAAAATGGAGGATGGGGATAAGGAGGTTACATTACTTTGTACATCGCTAAACTTTGTCACTACATTGTGTTGTGTTAAAGAACATTCCCTTGACTTAGGCCCAATTTGTAATACTCTCCATGCTGATGAACTTTGAAAGTAGGCATTTTTCATTGTTTTGATTGAAATATAGATGCAATCTCTTGTGGCAAGCGATCGATTGAATGAACGAAGTAGTTCATCAAAAAATTATATGAGAAAACTCCGATCAAAGCCAGGGGGGCTTAATGACAACAAGGTATGTTGGTTTTGAGGCAATCCCGGTCATTGAAGGAATAGTTTTTTTTATAAGGGGTGGATTCTTCAAAAGATTCTAATGCAGGAGGCAAAAAGAAAAGGGAATCTCAAAATGAAGTCCACCAAGTAGAAGAATCGGCGCCTGGAATCCTTGACGATGAAGTATTGATGGTGGCTTGCAATAGTGGAGCCACTAACCATATCTGTTCATACAGGTCATGTGGCATAATATGCTTGACTTCTCTTCCTTCTCTAGATTTGAAGGGATACAAGTTCACCAGGCGGTTGGGGTAATTAAAGCTTCAAAAGGGGCTCCAATTGTGTTGGAAAGAGTCAGAGTTGCAATTTTATACAAGTTTTTAGGAAACCCAATAATAGGCGATGAGGAGAACTCGGAGGTAGAAAGTGAGGAACTTCCATTTTGCTTATGGGCATGACATAGAAGATTGGGACACATAAGTGACACGGATATGGTGGTCATGATAAAGAACCTCATTCCTACACTTAATTTGGTGGATCCGAATTTTGTGAGCATCATCGTGACTTTGGTCAACGACATAGCCAAGCTCTCAAGACCGGGAAACATGTAAGTAATGCATACTTGATTGTGTTCACTCAAATGTATGGGGTCCTTCATTCAGTATGGAGGTGCATTGTACTTTGTCTCATTTATTGATGACTTCTCAAGAAAGGCATGGATCACAACTCTCAAGTCTAGAAGTGATATGTTTTGTGCATTTAAGCATTTCAAAGCCCAAGTAAAAAAAATTTAAGGGGTGTCACATGCAAGCTCTTTGAACAAATAATAGAGCAGAGTTGGCATTAAAGGAAGCTCAAAATTTTTTGGAAGGCCAACATAATTACTAGGAATTTTACAAATGCCTATAATCCTCAACAAAATAGTGTCGCCGAGGATGAATCATACTTTGATGAAGCAATGCCAGTCTAGAACAAGGGTTATGGGCAGAAGCCATATCAATAGTATCTTATCACACTAACTGACCCCTTCAGTGACATTGTGGAGTAAATCTCGCATTGAGCTATGGTATATAATTCCTAGTTATTATTCTGATTTAAAAATCTTTTGTTGTAACATTTATGCACTGATTTCAAGTTGCCAAAGGAACAAGTTGGATTCAAGGTCAAAGGAGTGCATCTTTGGGGTTATAAATAAGGGTAAGAAAGGATAACGGATAGGATCCAAGTAATTGAAAATAATCACAAGTCGGGATGTCTATTTTGATAAATCCACTGGCAAAAGGGTTCACAAGGGAAGGCAATGATCAAGAAGTGAAAGGTGATAGCCAAGAGTAGGGGATGATATACCAATGATTAAAACAATGCCTTTCGATGATATACCAATGATCTTAGTGAAGGACGTGATGAATAGGGGATGAAAATGAAGAACCACATGGTCATCAAGGTGAAGTTGCACCGTTGGTTTGTAACTGAGTAGTATAAAGATCATGTGAATCAAAATACTTCATAATTTAATAGATGAAAATAAAGAGCTAATATCATATCATAAGCCATGGAACGAAATGATTTGGGCTATGGCTGTTGGAAACGTCTGCGATTCCGAATCGTTTCTAGAATCGGACTTGCGGAATCGCATGTATTAGAAGTTTCTGAATCTAGGAATCGCTTTCCGTATGATTCGGATTTGAGAATAATGATTCTCACTATTTTGGAATTGCGATTCCAAAAATTAGGAATCGTGTTTTCTATTTGCAAGAATCGATGTCTCTTGATGTTGGAATCGCGTTTCATACCTATATCACACATGACTCCACTTGTTTCGGTGGTTGCTGGAATCATGATTCCTAAAACTATGGAATCGTGATTCCTAAAAATAAGGAATCGTGATTCCTAAAATTCTAGAATCGTTGTCCTCATCAATTTGGAATCAACATTCTCACTATTCCGGAATCGTGATTCTCACCATATTGAAATCGAGATTCTCCCCTTACTAGAATTGTAAACCAATTCTCTCCGATATATGAGAGAAGTATTCAAAAAATATATAAACTTTCCCATCATTACAAGATCGAATTTTGGTCTATATATACTTAGTCCAAGACTCCAAGTACTAATGTCAACCTTTATGATATCTTTGTGGACAATCTTATACAATGGACTCGGTCTATCAATAACCCTATTATGCCTACAAGGTCTGGAGCTAGTCTACGGCATACAAGGAGTGAGAACAAGGGCAAGCTCCTTTTATCTCCTTTCCTTGAATTATAAAATAAGTACATGACATAATAATTTTTCCTTGTTAAATGTAGTTTTGAGTCTTTTGATTTATGAAATTGAGTTATTCAATTTTTAGTCAATTACTCTAATATTTAGTGATTAATTTAACCTAAAACACCACACAGGGCACTTCGCTCATATCCTTATTATCTTCTTATTCTACTTAAAGAAAAGAATTTTTATCCTCTTATTCAACTTGAAGAAATAATGGTGCCGATCATATATTAAACATTATTACATTAGTAGTTTAGTACCCACACCATCTACCAAACATCATTAAATTTGAAGTAACATATTTTTTTAGTATTATTTATTCTTGGTAAGAGTTCTTAAAAAGTAACATGGAATGAAGGATGGAAATTAGTAAATAAGAAAATAAAAAATTTAACATATTACTCATATTTTAAATTTTGATTTTATTGTCGTGTTCAACAAATTCAAATTCTCTGACACTGTCATACATGTCGCACTCACTCATGATTGAGCACACATCGAAGGGTTTCTGCTCTCCTTATGCTCATATTACTTTCATGTTATATATTATTTAGTTGAACACTTGAAGTTCCTATTCTTACATTACTTTTATGTTATATTATTTAGTTGAAGACTTGAAATTCCTATTCACGCATTACTTTCATGTTATATTATTTAGTTCAAGAATTGAAGTTTCTATTCTCACATTACTTTCATGTTATATTATTTAGTTGAACACGTGAACTTCCTATTATTTAGTTCAGGAATCACATCGTTGTGTAGCATGGATTCGCAATTCCAAAAAATTTGGAATCAACCTTTCTCATAAGCAGAATCGCATTATTGTGTAGCTAAGAATCATAAAGTCCTCGATATGGAATCTTGATTCCAACAAATCAGGAATCGAGATTCCTAAACTAGGTGGAATCGCGTTCCGCAAAAAATAGAAACGTGATTCCTTTCTTTTAGAATCGACTTTCGCCCGGAGAAACGTTGAATTGAGATTCCAAAACGGAATCGCTACCCTCATAGGCGATTCGCGTAACTAAAATTTGGGCAATTGGAAGAGGGCAATAGAAAAAGAGATTTAGACTCTACAATGAAACAAAACTTGGGATTTGGTATAGATATCAAGAGGTAGAAAGGCGGCTGGTTATAAATGGGTGTTCAAGGTAAAGAAGGGGTCTGATGGCTTCGAAAATATAGGGCAAGGGGTTTCCGGCCAAGCAAGGCATCAATTTTGATGAAATTTTTTTAAGTATTTAAATTGGTCTCAATTCATTTGGTGCTTGGGTTGGTTGTTATGCATAATCTAGAACTCGAACAAATGGACATGAAGACATCAATTTTTGCATGGAGAACTTGAAAGTATACATATGACAAATAGAAGCCTTTTTGGAGAAGGGCAAAAGAGCTCTTGTGTGCAAATTGAAGAAGTCTTTATATAGGCTTAAACAAGCATCAAGACAATGGCATAAAACATTTGATATGCTTATGATGAGACTGGGTTACACAAGGAGTAAGTATTATCACTACATTTATTTAAATATTTTTATGATGGTGCATACTTGATCATAAAGATTTGAGATGAAGGATCTTAGACCAACAATGTTGGGATTGATGAACTTGAGGCATCATTGAGCAAAAAGATTTGAGAGGAAGGATCTTAGACCAACAAGGCAAATCCTTGGGATTCAAATTGAAAGGGATAGGTGAAATAAAAAATTGTCACTGTCTCAAAAGGGTTGTTTAGAAAGGGTGCTTAACAAATTTGGCATGAACAATGTAAAACCAGTGAAGACGTACCTAATGACTCATTTCAAATTCTTCAATGAAAAGACCAAGGACAGAAGCATGGTAACGTGTCCTATGAAAATGCAATTCAGTGCTCAATGTTTGTCATGGTATTTACTACAATCGATATTACCCATGTTGTTGGTGCTTAAGTCAATTTATGGCGAACCCCAAAAAGTTGCATTAGAAAGCTACAAAACTTCGATATTGAAGAGGCACTAGTGATTATTCAATCACATTCAGCAAGCACTCGAATCCAATGCAAGGACTTTTGGATGCAAATTTGGCCGATGTTGATAGCAGAGGAAGATCAACTATGCATTTGTCTTTTGGTTTGCAAATAGACCGATAAATTGGATATCAAGGCTCCAAGACATGGTAGTACTATCAACTAAGGGTAATGAACATGTGCACCAATGACACAGATAAAAAAATGGACCGGCTCCATCACCCCACCGTCTCCATCTCTCCTCCTCTCATCTCTATTCCCACTCTACCTGCGTCTAACCTCGCTAACCTTTACAAATCTTCCCTAGTTGGTGTCTCCCACAGCACAATGACCACAAAGGAATCAAAAGATGGGCTAAGGAAACCTGGAGAGAACCAGAGCTTACATGTGGGCCCCTCTACGACGAGTCCTATCTGTTGTCCTTCCCCTCTGTTAATGCAGCCTCGTCTATCCTCCATCGCTCATCTTTGGACTCTTTCATAGGAGCTTCCCTTTAGCTCTCCAAATGGACTGAAGAACTAGGCGCCTTCCGCCGACAGAAAGTTTGGATCACAGGTTCTGACATCCCCCTTCCTTCGTGGTCCCTAGACACTTTTAAAGCTATCGGCAACGCTTGTGGCTCCTTTGTAACTGTCCACTAGAAATCGATGGAAAATATACCACTTGGGTCCCTTCGCCTCATTGTTGACATCCTTGACCCTCTGTCCATCCCACCTTCCCTCTAGTTAGAGGTGGCTGGGAATTTTTTCATGATTTTCATCTCTTGGTCGGCGGCTTCCCCCACCTCGCCTCGCTTCCTTTCCCTGGCCGCAGCGAAGAAGGGGGTTTCCTTTCCCCACGACTCACTTGATGCTTCTCTCGAATCGTCGAACACCTGGACCTTCATCCCATTCAAAAAACCATCTCAGAGGAACCGTCAACCACCGCCCATTGCTCGTCGGGCCTTGCTCATCGCAAGGCTCTTGCCCAGCCGGACCCACCATCACCTCTTCCACCCTCTCCTACCTTTCAACCCCCGCTTCATACCCTTCCACCCTCGCTACCACCACCACCACCTCCTCCACCTCCTTCCCCACCTCTGTCACCACCTCCTCCTCCGCCTTCACCCCCACCGCCCCCACCCATTTCCCCCATTGCGGCTTTGCCCACTCTCCATACGCATTCGGACTCCTCGCTAGCAAGGCACCAACCTCCGTTGACCCCGATGCATGGCGGACCGAAAGGCATTTCCTGCAGCCTCCGAGTCGAGCCTTTGTACTAGCCTTCCACCTCCTTTTGACAAGTCCCGGACACAATCGCCTTTGCTCGATGACACCTCGACTTTGGCGAATGTTCTGGACCCTTCTGCTTCTCGTAGCATGCCCCAAAGGCCCCCTTTTTGCCGCCTCCATCACCAAACACCTGTACGGCGACGACCCCCTCTACTGCCACTTCTACTCCCCTGGCTCCCCGTCTTGAGGCCACTCCTACCCAAACCTTCTCCCACCCTCCATCAAACCTACATCCACAGATCCTCTTCGGCTCCCTGCTTGAGTTGCTCCATCTACCCTTTACTGGTTTGCCAGCTTCACTTTCCTCGTATCCCATCGTCACTTCAGCACCCTTACACCGCCACCCCCCTGAGCCTCCGCCATCATCACCTTCTATCCCTCTTGAGACGACCTCCATGGCCCCTTTCCTTTCACCCTTTCTTCAGGGACCTGCCCCCTCTCCTCCTCTATCGCCTCTCCTCATCGATTTGGAGTCTGAAGGAGGCGAAGATCCTGAGCAGCCAAAACCTTCTCCTAAGATTCATTCGGCTGAACAGGAACGCTCACAAGCAGTGGCTCCATCAAATAATATGGACCCTAATCTCCTCGCTTGCAATCTCTTCCCATCTGTTCTTGTGGGCATTCCTGCTGATCCACTAAGTGAAGACTCAGTAATAATCTTTGTTCCTGTGACCCTTGTTTCTCCCATTCCTGTTTTCATTCCAAACCTTATACCCTCATCCCCGCAACTTGTTACCCCTCCTTTTATCCCTTTGCCGCTTCTTGCCACCAAACTTTCACACTCCTTACTCACCTACTTCCAGGGCTCCTCTAGGCCCCTGCACTATCTACCCTCCCTCTCCATTCCTCTCAAACTCTACTAGCCTTGTCTCTCTTAACCCCCAACCAGCAATTCATTCCATCTCTCCCTCTGTTAACCCCACTACTGGGTCCAATCCCACATCGGCCACTCTACTCTCTTTAACCTCTAGCTCAACCATTGCCGAAAAGGCAGCTGGTCCCAACTCAGCTCCACCCTCTACCCCCAAGAATGTACATCCTTAACCCTCTCTTTCTTTTCTCGAGCCTGTTAGCACCACAACAGATGATCCTTTAGGACTAGCAACGGGAATTTTCATACCTACAGAAGCCGACGGCTTACTATTCCCGATGATACCAGTCTTACCTACCCCTGCTTCATCTACGCAAGACTCTGCAGGACACTCGTTCTCGGTGGACACTATGGGGACCCTCTTTCTCCCCCACCGGTGGATTCAGATTATGTCAATGGCATTGATGCGGGCCAAGGACAAATTCGGGACGTTTTGAAAGTCATTGGCTTCCCACAAACTGGACCGAAAGGACTGTTTCTAGAGTTCTTCTAGGACGACTTGCAATCACAAGTTCGGGTAAGCAAGAAGGGTACGCGGGAATTAAACAATATGGCCTGCAATATAAATTACGATAAACCCTCTTCCTCCAACCCCTCCTTTTCCCTTCTCGTGCCTAAAGATCAGCCCAATGGCCCCTTGGTCAGGCGATCTCTCAGGATCTCCCCTATTGCTTTCACACCCCAATGCTGATTCTCTCATGGAATATTCAAGGGCCCGGACTACCTCACAAAAAGCAGGTAGTGAGGGACCATTTTGGCCCTCACTGAGATGAAACTTCTTGAACCTACCCTGCTTCAAGTTCGACAAGTCTGGGGACGTAGACCTTGTCAATGGGTCGCACGTCCAGCTGAAGGGGTCTCGGGTGGAATCTGGGTAATTTGGGACCCCACAACTCACTCCCTGAACACACAATTGGTTCCCAGATTCTTAGTTTCTATCCTACTCTCCAGGATCCTTGACAGTCTGGCTTGGAAATTTTCAACGGTTTACGGTCCCAATTTGGACGCTGATAGACCAATATTATCGGAAGAACTCAACCATGACGATTTATGTCAATTTACTACGTTATGTGAATACTGTATAGAGAGAGTGTGTGCCAAATCCCCACAAGAAACCATGAAAGGGAGAGAAAAAAACCTAAAATTAGAAATATGTGACGTATTTATCCTAAATTGGTTGAAATGCTACAAAGTACTGAAAAAAATAAATTTGGGGAAAGATTTCTTACCTCAAAGATCTGATGAGGTGATGGAAATGAGGAAGAGAGACCTCGTGAGAGATTGAGGGCCAAAAATCTTGAGCTTGAGAAGAAGAATAGAGCCCTAAAATGGTAGAATCAGAACCGTAAAGCAGAAAATGGTTTCGAGTTAGGGTTTATAAGGTCGATAGTATTACAGCATTTCGAGTGCCGTAATAAAAATTCAACTTCTTACGGTAATAAAAATGCCATGTAATATGGTTAGGTTTGACAGTACTTAAAGTACCGTAATATTACTTCAAGTTATTACAGTATTTGAAATATCGTATAAAATGCGATATGTATTACGGTAATACGACTTCCACAAAAGGTTATTTTGGTAAAAAAAAAAAACAAAAAACAAAAATGGGGAAAAATGGCGTAGATGAGGTTTATAGAAAACAAAAGTTTTTTTTTTTTTTCCAATTAGGCTAAAATTAAGGCATATCTCTAAATAGAAATGTAACATTTATGGCATGATCCATTTAATAAAGGGTGTGGTTTGTCTAGAGCCTAGGCTCTAAATAATTAAATTAGAGCCTACCTTCAAATATCGAGAAATGTGGTTTCAATATTGGAAATCTTTGTGATAGCCTTAAAATATATGTTCATATTTATTTATATAGTTTAAAGCATAAAAAATAGTGTAGATCTACAGATCTGAGAAAACTTGAAAATCTTGAAAATTGATGGTCCAAAAATATGTTGCAAAATATACTATTTCCAAACTTGAAATCTATTTTTTTTTATCTTGATATCGAGATGATCAATTTGGAGATATTTGGGCATAAAAACAACCTCTTCTGGTGAAAGTTTTGAGGTAGGCTCAAATTTGATTGTTTAGAGCCTCGGTTCTATATAAACTTTTCCCTTTAATAAATGACCCCTAATAATAATATAGCTATAGCAATTATTGCAAGTGAAACTAATCGTAATGGAGAATGGGCTTGGGGTCGTGTTGGTAGCACCACTTGTGCCTCAACTAAGGTCTGGGCTTCCATTCTCACCTAACGCATTAAAAAACCACTAACAATTTCAAAAAACGGGTAGTGGCTCATCCCCACTAAATTACTAAAAACAAAATGTAAAAAAATGTAACAAAATGGGTAGGGGCTCGTCATCCCCACTAAATTATTTGTTATTCTTCTTTTCTTGGTAGCAAATTTGTTTCTTTTAGGTTTGTAATTTGCGAATTGCATCAAAGTAAAGAAAGAAAATGTAAAAAAATAAAAAACCAAAATTAAAAAAATAAGCGGTAGAAGGAAATTTCTTATACTATTATAAGCACTATTATAACTTTTATTACTTTATTAATAATTTCTAATATTGCTTGTATTTTATGGAATTCTTTATCAGAGAATATTTTTATTTTCTAATATTCTACAATTATATTATTAACCTACATAATTTGAATTTTTTGTTTACTATTCTTTAGATTTTTTCTAATATAATTGAAATTAATTACTTATAAGTAAATATATTAATATATTTACTTATTAATAAATATTAAATTGGATCCTTTTTAAAAGATATAACAAGTTTGCTTGGTGCACAATAAAAGTTGAACAAGGGAAAAAATTAGTACGTCTAGGTAGTAAGTTTTTCTATTTTTCAATTTAATTTTTATATTTAGTAAACTAACAAAATAAAAATAAAAATAAAAATATAAAAAAAATAAAAATAAGAAAAAATAGAGAAATTTTTATTTTTTAAAAAAAAAAATTGACTCATAAGTTATATGTTTTTAATTATAAGACAGTGCTTTGGTGTTGTATACTATTGTTTCAATTATATTATTTCCCTATATCATTTGTATTTTTGGTTAAATATTTCTCTTTTTTCCATTTTCTTATGCAATTCTTGGTTAATAATTTGCATTTTCAGTTAGCAAATTTATTGTTTTGTTGATGCAGATATTAATTAGGAAATTTTGGAGAAACGCAAATTGGAACACGAAAGGAAATAGAAAAAATATTAGATTTTCTTCAATATAAACGTAGGTCACGTTTTGCTTTTAAAAATGTAATATGTTTATGCGGCAATTCAAATTTTTTCTAGTTTTCAATCTAAATTTTTATTTAGGAAATTCAAAAACGAAGATAGAAAAATAAAAAATAAAAAATAAAAAATAAAAATATAAAAATAAGAAAAATAGAGAGGGAATTCTCTTTTGCATTTACAATTTTACTTATGTGTTGCACTATATAATTTTCATAATATACTATTACTTCAAGGGTGCGGTTTGTATAGAGCCGAGGCTCTAAACAATCAAAGTAAAGCGCACCTGCAAATAATGCCCAGAAATGTGGTTTCAATACTGAAAATCTTTGTGATAGCCTTAAAATATATTTTCATCTTTAATTACAAAATTTAAAGCTTCAAAAATAGTATTGATCGATCAGATCTATGAAAATTTAAAAATGTTGAAAACTAACGGCAAAAAAATATTTTACAAGATGCACTATTTCCAAAACTTCAGGGTATTTGGGCATCAAAGCAACCTCTTATAGTGAAATTCTTGAGGTAGGCTCCAATTTGATTGTTTAGAATCTCGGCTCTATATTAACTTTTTCCTTGTTTCAATTGTATTATATCCAATATTTGCAATTTCGGCTAATTATTTTTGCATTTTTTTGCATTTTTTGGATACTTGATTTGCATTTTGAAGTATTAAATATATCATTTTGCTTCTATAAATATTAATCTAGAAAATTTGAAGAAATGAAAATGCAAAAAAGAAAAGAAACATAAAATAGCTTTTCTTTATTTATTTATTATTTATTTTTGTTTCCGATTACAATGAAATTTTAATGACAACTATATTTACAAAATTTCTTTCGATTTTCCAAACAATCAAATAATTAAAGTGATATTGTTTATACTAGAAATTGCGTGTAGGGGACTTCGCCCCCGCTTTGGTTTTGGGTGCAAACAAATCGATGAGTTGATAGAGTATGGGTCCCATCAAATTACGATTCGAGGAACAATCGGGTCCTAAGACCTTATCCCTCTCGGATCGCCGACAAAGCCGCCTTCCCTACTATCTTAACCTTGGAATTCAAACAAGAGAGCTTTCAAAAGAAGGTTTGAGATAAAAGGAAGATTTTAAGAAAATAAATTTAACAGAAAAAGGGAAGAGAACCACAAATAAGCAACTAAACTTAGAAGATGCAAGTAAATAGGAGTGACAAATCTGACTACAAGATGCAGGAATAATAAAAAATTAAAGAGCATGGTAACAATAGAGTGGATCTAGTCTAAACATTCATAACATAGAATGAAAGAGAGAGAGAGAGAGAGAGAGTATTATGGTAATGCCAACACGATTACGAAGAAGGAAAGATGCGGGCTCCTCATCAACGAGGCAGAGATATATGAGTATGAAATATGAATAAAGATAATAATATAACATAAGAAGAGATAAAATGAGAGAGAGAGAGAGAGAGGGAAGAAAGCTAATACTTGTAAATAACATGCAATGAGAGTAATAAAACTAAATTAAAAAAAGAGATAGAAGGAAAGACTATAAGAAAGAGTGTTAAGATGAATGAGATAGATGGAAATAGGGTGTGATTCACTAAAAGGGAAAGAGAAAAATAGATGAGTGCAAATTACTAATAAGAAATAAATGCAACAAGAAGATGATAAGAGAGACAAAAGCTATTGAACAAAATATAAGGGAAAAGATAAAGTAAGTATGAAAGAAAGTAGGGAATGAGAGGGATGGAGCTGATGAGATTTAAACTACATAATAAGGGGAAAGAGAAGAGATTAAAGTAAGTCTCCCTAACTAAGATGGAAAAAACATAATAAAGAATAACGAACAAGCACCATATAGAGAAGACGAGAGATGGGAGAGATATACATTATTAAATGAGTAAGAGGGGGAAAGAGAACCATACAACAGATTAAAAGAAATAAATATAGCAAGAAAAGAGAGAGCCTATACTATCAAATAGAGAAAACTAGGAGGACGCATCAATGTAACAACCTAAGAGAATGGATGTTCATGAAAGATGAAGAAAATAAATCTATGCTAAAGAAAATGATAGAAACGGCAGATCTACATCATAAAAATAAATAAAATGAGAAAAAGGAATAACCACAACAAACCCAATCAAGGGATAAATATTACTAAGAAGAAAAGGGAGACTACTTAATGAAGAGAATGACAGATAAGGGGTTTAGTGAAAAGAGAATGTTTATACCACTAAATATTGAAGCAAAGAAGAGTAATAAATTCCATAAAACAAAAGAACCAATATAAGGTAAAATGATCATGCAAAAAAGGGAAAAGAGAGGATTAAATATAGCTAACTATGTATATTAAATACTACATTAAATGAGAAAGTAGATAGGATTAGTGTTTTAAAAATCGGACGATCTAAATCGGATATGTCCAACTCGTTCCGGATCCAACGGAAAAATAGGATTGGCCAATTCTCGGCAGTAAATCGAGTGATGACATCACGAGGTCTCCTGCTTACCTCAGGGACTACCACGTGCATACTTTTGTTAGATTTTTTTTCAAAAATTACAAGCGCGTCACTTTTTGCTGGCGAAAAAATAATATATTAAAAAATTTATAATATAAATAAATTAATAAATAAAATACAAGATTTGGTTGTCAATGTATAATTGGTAATTATAATATAATAATAAACATGATTAAAAATTATTAAAAAATGCTTCCATATCATATGATAAAAAACAAAATAAAATCCCCTATAAATTTTAATGTGATCATATTTATATGATTATACTGACATAAGCTTAACAAGTTATTAAGATAAATAAACAATACGACTTTCAATATAATTATACTAATTTTGGTAAAGAATTAACTAGAATTTCTTTATGTAATTATATGCAATTAAAACTCAACTATATCTACTTTTATTTTTTGTACATTATAAAAATATATATATATATTATTAAATCATTAAATAGAATTTCTTAATTTATAGTATTAAAAATATTTATAATTACACAACAACACCTGGTGAAAACTACACGTTATTTTGAAAGATGCTTGGAGCGCTAAAGGATGGACTACGCGTTATGATACAACAGCACAATGTTTATTATACGCTTGGAGCACTAGTGAAAACACCTGGTGAACACTACGCTTGCATTGCTAAGCGATGGGGTACGCTTGAAGCACCTGGTGAAAACTACACGTTATTATACAACAGCCGATGGAGCAAGTCCCACATTAAGAATTTAAGAAGAGCACGGCTTAATAAAAGCCTTGGGCTTGCACGGTTGGTTGTCACATGCAAAGCGCGCTGAGAAAAAATTGTCTCAAATGAGACATGCCACGTGGTTTGTGGATGAAGGCTGGGTCAATTGCTGTTCTAGGTTGTGCTTTGTCCTCTATGGGGAAGATTTGAGGATGCTTTGCGTGTCTGGGAGCACGGTTATGGGCGTGCAGCCAGCCATTGCACTGATTTGAAACAAATACTGGAATTGGAAGAGCTGTTAGCTAATGCTAAACTAAATGGACATGCCGTCTGTGAAGAGCAGGCCATGGGATCGTCTTGCACAGTTACATCTAGTTCTGAATCAGACAGCGGAAGTGCCCCCAAATCACATCGAAACGATCAGAATATTGAAATAACTTCTGCTATTGTCAATGCCTGTGAAAGTGTTGGTGTTATGGAGAAGAATTCTATTACTATTGAACCACATGATGTTGGCGGTGTTGTGGAAGAGAGTTCTGTTATCAGCAGACCACGTGAAGGTGTTATGGAAAAGAGTTCCCGTGCTAGGGTTTCAAAGACTACATCAGTATTTGTGGATTTTCGTTTATCTCAAGGAATAGCAGAGGTTAATGCTTCTTTGTCATGTACAAATAAAAATACTATTAGTTGGATTTGCTATCTTGGGAAATTTTTGATTGCATCATACATATTAAACTGAGAATACCTACCACATATATAACTACTATAATCCAGGCAAATGATTCAAACATGGCTTGTGGAGGGGCGCAAGACGCCCAAGATGCTAGCATACCCATACTACCTCTTGGTGATATGATGCTACCATTACCTACAAATAAATACCTACCTGAGCATGGTCTCCACCCAGTCCTTGCAGGTACCAAAAATGAGAATTGTGAGAAATCCAGGTGTGTAGATCAAAATTTATTCCGAAACTGCATACGACCAGGTTACATGATAGAACGAACCCGAAAACAAAAACTTCCTTCTAACATTCTCATTTGTTTGCTATATTGCTCTAACTTAGGTATGCTGATTTTCATTCCTTGTAATCATTTTTCAGTTTGTGTGAAGATTGTATCACGTATTTCAATTTCTTTATGTGTGGTGTCTGTGTGGTGTCTTTTACTATTACTATTTGAACATTGAATATATATATATATATATATATATATAGGGAAAAGTTTATATATAGAGCCGAGGCTCTAAACAATCAAATTCGAGCCTACCACAAAAATTTCACTAGAAGAGGTTGTTTCTATGGCCAAATATTGATCATCTCGACATCAAGATGTATGGACATAAAAAAAAATAGATTTCAAGTTTTGGAGATAGTGTATTTTAATAACGCATTTTTGGACTGTCAATTTTCAAGATTTTCAAGTTTTCATAGATCTATCGATTTACTCTATTTTTGAAGCTTTAAACTTTATAAATAAAGATTAAAATATATTTTAAGGCTATCACTAAGATTTCCAATATTGAAATCACATTTCTCGACACTATTTGAAGGTAGGGTCTAATTTGATTGTTTAGAGCCCAGGCTCTATACAAATCGCGCCCATATATATATATATATAGAGAAAAGATCCTGTCAACCCACAGGCTGATAGCTACAGTGTCAGCCAATGGCCCAGGTTGAATCTCGGCCGATCTGACGGTCACGACCTTATTTCGTGTTTGAATTTTCATTTGTTTTCTACAAATCCAAATCACTGGAAATTTGGAGCATCTATTCTTCAAAAATAGAAGAATCTAATAAACATATAAAAAAATAATTGTAAAATATTAATTGATATTTCGGGGGTATTTTGATCAATTTATATTTTGCGAATTATTTTTGTATATTTTTATTTGGTGTACCTGATGAGAAGAATGAGCTCCTAAAATTTCAAGTGATTTGGATTTGTAGAAAAAAATGAAAATTCAATTAGGAAATAAGATTGTAATCGTCATATCAGCCTATATTGAATCTGGGTCAGTGACTGACACTATAGCAGTCAGCTCGTGGGTTGACAGAATCCACTCCCATATATATATATATATATATATATATATATATTAACTTGAGAAACTCTACTTTTACTCAACTTGAACAGTTGCTGCGTTTTTTGTAAATGAGAACTGGGTATGCCTGAGTGTTTCATATATGTTTATTTTGGAGATTTTGTTATCTAAGTGGGCATCTCTGAAGTAAGAGCATTGTGGATTTCATTCGTTTTAGAAAGGTCGACTCCAGCCGAGTCCGAGTAACTTGGCTCGAGTAGTGCCGCTTACTGTGGCAGCAAAAAAAAGTCAAAAGAATTATAAAAAATGAAAAAAAAGGAGGAAATGTATGTTTAAAGTAGGATTAAGCAAAACACTTCAAAATGAGGTTACAAGAGCAGTAAAAAAATAGATTTTAAAAAATAAACTTATGATCGGGGTATTTTCAAAATAATTTAGAAACGATGGGAAAACGTGAAGATAAGTATTTGTGGCCAACACACTTTCCAATCTTAGCTAAAATGATAGAAAACAAACAAAAAACATATCACAAATAAATTCCTTAATTTCTGGAATTTTTATATATTCTTTAATTTTTTTTAATATCTTGGAGTGGTACACCAAACTTGGGGTATCTAGGGCTCTCTAGGGTGCCGAGCTTGAGTACTCGGCCCGACTACTTGGCACTCAGAGGAGTAGTCAAGTACTGGTTTTGATTCGGTGATGAGTTGGGTTCGAACCCCCATGATAGACCACATCGTTTTTTTTCCTCCTCATAAACACCAAAAAAAAAAAAATTATTTTCCTTGTAGACTCTTCAAGTTGGTGGGTCAACTTCGTTTTTGGTAGGGATCGAGTTAATCACTGAGTTTGAGTTTTGAAACATTGTTATTAAATACATGTTCATGTAGTAACCAGGGCAGGGGTTTGCATGTTGGTTTCCAAAGCGTGTCTAAAGTTACACACGGCCCGAAAATTGCAAATATATAATAAAAAGTAATCTTTGTAATCAATTTAAAAAACATTAGTTGTTCTTAAGTTCCATAGTCACAATTCGGTGATTTATCTAACAAAAGAAAATCAATTAAAATTTATTTGCCTTTTGTCTTTCTTATATATTATTTGGCTTATTTTTTGGCAACATTGGCTTCTGAGTATATATACATTTTATACTCAACCTTCATTGGAATTTATGAAAAATATTTACAAGATGGTTATCCTGTAGAAGCTAATATATGTCTACATAAACGTTTAAAATTTATAAATAGGAATAAAATTTATAATATTTTGTCAATTGTCTTTAGCTTGGTCCTTGATGTTCTTTATTTTATTACTAGTTGCCAAAAAAAAGAGAAAAAGAAAGAAAATCCTTTTTCTTAAAGTTCTATTGATAATACAACTTCGAAAAATGATTCACTTAAGGAATCCATGACTTGATCGTAAAGTGCTTGATTCCAAGCTAGGAGGTCACAAGTTCAAATCATCTATGGGAGATTTCGTTTTCAAGAAACCTGGCCTCTTTTAGTCTAAACTTTCTGGTTGGACCCATTTCTAAGCATGTCAAATTGTTTCATTCTGTTAGAACGTGTCAATGCTCAAAACCATGCCCAAAAAGGGATATCTGGGTAACGAAGTTGTTACATATGAAGATTTCAATTAAGTGTATTCATCATTAGTGTTATGTTACAATATGTTTTCAGTTATATAAAATATAGTTTCTTTAGAATTTGCTATTTTGATTGTTCTTTTATTTATGTACAATTTTTATGTCCTGTATCAGCACTTAAAACCAAATCCTTGTCTTGTTTCATAGCATGAAGATTTTATGACTGTTGGAGTTACGTCCAATATGCTGGAACAAATTAAACTTGATCGTTCTCCAAGATATCCTGTTGTCACTAATATACTCTGTCAGCAGGTAAATGAAGGAAACTATGATCAAGCTGTGTCTACTTTTGAGAAGGTATGATTCGATCCTTGTGCTTTGGGAAATGTTTTTGTTATTCAATTTACATTTGTATGCTATTTGCTTTTGTCTTATGTAAGTATTATTTATATTAATATGGTATTTCTTACAGGTGTTGCAAAGAAATCCAGCATCTCCTGAGGCTTTAGTTGGAAGGGGAACTGCCTATGCATTCCAAAGAAAACTTGAACTTGCTATTGCTGACTTTACCATGGTAAGAGTATCTTTTTATTCATGAAATATCTGATGCTCTAATTTCATGATTGATCTTTTTCCTAACTGGAGTTTCATGAAGGCCATACAATTAGATCCATTGGCTGGAGAAGCATGGAAGAGGCGTGGGCAGGCTCGTGCTGCTTTAGGGGAGATTCCAGAGGCAAGGCTCATATCTCTATTGTCTTTGTAACTGAAGCATGGTATTGCCTATGCCACTTTCAATTCATGATGTGTTCATGCTGTTTCAGTTGGCATATTCTATGTTTGTTGTGCTATTATGAAAATCGTATTAGTCAAGATCGTGTGTTCTTTGATTTGAAGGGTGAGTAGGAAATTAGCCCTAATGTTCAATCTGCTGCCTTTGGCCTGTAGAATTGATTTGAAATTCGGGCAGGCAGCAATTTATATTACTATAATCTGGCTGAGATAGTCATGACCTTATGGACTACTATGAGATAAAACTTGCTGTAGTTTACATGTACAATTGATTAAACAAATGAGAGTTAGTTTAATAACATAGGGTCAGGTTGGGACGTGGTGTGTTCTGAGCAGAGTTGAATAGTATCCCGAGCCTCAAGAATTTCAATGAGCTCAACAAACTTCACTGCATATAAAAACTTGTTTGACTCATTTAAAACTCTTCTGACTTGGTACAGACTTAGTTGGTGCCCGAGGTAAGTAAAACTCAATGATTTTAAATCTTATTGCGCTCCACATTTGCTGATGTAGTTTGTGAATATGTGGCTTCAGAAGCTGCCTAGAACTTGCCTCATAAGGCTCTTGCATAGCTGCCACAAAAGGGATATATGTGCCCAATTAGAGTTGACTATGGGAGACTCATAGCTGCATGACAACCCTGACAAACCTGCTATTCTGAGGCATTTCCTGTCCAGTCTAGTTCATGCTAGGTGCTTTCTTGCATATTAGTGTGCATCTACTGTTTTTAAGAAGTCATACCTCTAGTGATTCATGTTGTTGTCTTTTTAACTTCAAAATATTTAGTTTTATTAGTAGGATGGTTTCTTTACATCAATTTAATTACCACTGTTCCTGTAATCATGTTTTTTATCAGCATTACTACCATTTAATATGTCATGGGTAGTATTTTTTGAATCTGGTCTCAGACTTGGAATCGGGCAGGGCCCTGGCCCAGGTCTAAGTTGGGGACTCACAATATTACTTGCGCTTGGCCGAGTCATCAAAACAATAATAAAGAAACCTTGGAAACTGGTGATACTGTGCCTGTTCGCAAGGTTTTTTAGTTAGACTCAGCACTTGCCAGGTGCAAGTGAAGTGACTCAGTTGAGTCTGAGTGTTTGAAACACCAATTATAAGAAACTTTGTTTATCAGGATTCTGTAGCTTGTAAGTACTGGAGATTTTGATAGATTGTATGAATGTGATCCTTTGGGGTCCAAGGTTGGCTTGGCAGCAGTTATTTTTTGATGGGTGTTTGAAAAGAAAGGAGTCTCCAAAGGCTATATCGACATGGTGGGAGATATGTAGGAGGGAGTGCTAACTAGTGTGAGGACAACTATTGGAGAGACCAGTGAATTTTCAGTGATAGTAGACCTACATCAACGGTCAGCACTGGGCCCATATCTCCTTGTTTTGGTTGGGGACGAGTTAACTAGGTACGTACATGATGAGGTATCATGGTGCATGTTGTTTGCGGATGACATAGTTTTGTTTGATGAGACTAGAGTGCAAAGTTAGAACTTTGGAGGGAGCTCTAGAATTGAAAGGTTTTAAAATTAGTCGGACTAAGATGGAATATATAGAATGAAAGTTTAGCAATAGTAGGAGTAGAAACGAGGAAGTAGTTAAGATTGATATCCAAGAAATACCTAAAAGAGGTTATTTTCAATATTTTAGATCAATAATCCAAGAGAATGGAGAGATTGAGGAAGATGTGCATAGAATTAGAGCTGGGTGGGCGAAGTGGAGATGCGCGTTTGGAGTTTTAATTGATCCCCGCATATCAATGAAACTGTGGGGGAAGATCTATAGGGCCGCTGTAAGACCAACCATGCTTTATGGGACAAAATGTTGGGCAGTCAAAAACAACATATCCATAAGATAAGTGTAGTTGAGATGAGGATGTTGAGATGGATGAGTGACAAGACATGAAAGGATATTCTAGAATGAATACATTCGAGGGAATTTAAGTGTGGCTTTAATAGGTGATAAGATGAGCGAAAGTAGACTTAGGTGAGCTGACCATGTGTAGTGTAGACCTAATACAACAACGGTTGGGAGGTGTGATTTGGTTCAAGTGGCAGGCTCTAAAAGGGCATGGGGAAGGTCCGAAAGGATATGGATGGAAGTAGTGAGAAAAGATATGGTGACATATGATCTTACTAAGGGTATGGCCGTTGATAAAGTGGAATGGCATAATAAGATTCATGTAGCCGACCCTAAATAGTTGGGATAAGGCTTGGATGATGATGATGATGATGATAGTGATCCATTTCTTTAGTGTTGGAAATAATAATAATTATTATATCTGAGGGTATGAATGTGTTTTATTGTTGTTTAGGACTTATGTGTCCTGTTTCATTCTTCATGGGAAATATTGTAATTTGATACACTTTATTAAAATAAAAGGAGGTGCGCTATGGTCATTCTAGACCATCACGCCACTCTATTTCTCCTCTCTTCTCCTCTCTTCCTCATGCCACTCCCTCTCCTTCTCTCTCTTATTTTCTTCCTTCTTCCTCCTCTTCCCCTCTCTTACTATTATCTAATAACTTATTTTTACTTTTTCACCTCTTCCTTGTATATACCAGATACTAATCAATGCCACCTAATTTACTTCCAGGCTATTGAGGACTTGACTAAAGCGTTGCAATTTGAGCCAAAGTCATCAGACATCTTACATGAAAGGGGTATTTCCATGAAACATAATTCTTCACTGGAGTTTCATTTCAGTATAATATCAATCATGTGGCATGTTTAGGCCTTATTTTGCTTATCAACTTTTTGTATATGCGTCTTGCATTAATGCTTTTGCACATTTGCATTTTTCAAATTATGTCATAGATAGGAAAGTTTTGTGTGTCCAGTTTTAGTAGTTCACTAAACCTAGTGGATTGATGTTCTATGAGTACCAACTGACTGCAAATATGATTCTATGGAGTTTGGCTTCAACTTATCAAATTCGCACCATGCTGCTGTTGTGTTTTATCCTAAGGGTGTAAGTATGCATGTGCATAATGTTTGTTCATGATGACTTTTTGGATGTATTTACTTATGTATGTATGTACTTATGTATGTATGTATCTCTGTTTGTCTGTATGAATGTATGTAGGCGTCTGTAGGATAGAACCCTTTCCCTTGCTGTTGTTTCCTGCATTACTTATGGTTTGGCTGTGTTGTGAGGAACCTTCAATGATCAAATGGAGGCAGCCATGCATTTTCCAAGGTATAGGACTTCCATTTAGTCACGAGTGGGAGTGTGTAGTTTTGTTCTCATGTAGTGAGGTAAGCCACCTGTCAATAATGCCAGGTTATTTTCTATCAAGTAGTTTGTGTCCAAAATGCGCAGATATGGCTAACAAGGCTATAGTATTAGTTTTTTGTGATTTTATAAATGGGTCGAAGCTCCAAGATAACTGACTACAAGTATATTGTTCATTTTGAAGAATTTGTACAATGTAGCTCTAGGCCCTTCCTAATAAGGGCATTTAAGGAACTTGCTTGGATGCAGATTTTGTCTTTAATTTATGCTCTATGATGTCCCAAGCTATATGAATCAACTTTTTCGATCAGTGTAATGCACAAGTCTTTGTAAGGGAAGACCTTGGTTTTCTGTACTTGATCCACTATCCAAGGGATGGTAGTGTTTGTCTTGCTTATTATCTGCGGATTACCCGTGATTGTATTAATGATCAGCAGTGTTTCAAAAAGCGCTACGCGGGTCCTAGGCGGATTGGGGGGTCCAGGCCGCCCAGCGCCTAGGCGGGCACCCAGAACCTGGGCGGCCCAGTTGAATCCAAATAAGGATTATGCAGTCCAGTTGAATCCCAGTAAGGATTCTGCAGTTATTTGAGTATCAGACTATCTGTTATATTCAAATTATTCTACATATTAGCACTTAGCACACATTCCATGAGCATAACCATAATCCATACGCCGGTTCATACTCCATAATCCATATCCAATTAAAACTTAAAATATGCCAACCAACCGAATTATAAAACTATGAAAGTAATACTTGAAAACTCAAAAGAATCTTCAATAGTTCAAATGTTCAATACACAATACTTCAATCAAAGACTCAAAGTTCAAACTTCAAAGTAACAAAGTTTAATAATTATTCAACAATCAACATTCATTCATCATCAGAAAATCTTGGGTTAGCTGCATTGGCATCATATTCATCGGAGTCGACGGAGTTGTCACCCTCCTCGACATATTGCGACTCGGTCTTCCTCCGCCTCTTGTGAATCTGCCTCTTCTTCTTCCTCTTCCTCCACCCTTGTTCTCTGTGCGGAAGCTTTAGCAGCCCTAGGAGGGTCAGCTGATGTCCCTGAAGCATCCGTGACCATGTCCCATGTCAATCCTTCGTGCCTCTTGACCTCATCATAATCAACTAACCACTCCATAGCATTGTCCATATTTTTTGATCTGATAGGGTCTCTATTATCTCTCTTAGCAAATATGTCCTTCATGAATCGATTGTACTTGACATAGACAAGGTCATTGAGCTTCTTTGATTCAAGCATGTTCCTTTTCTTTGTATGAACCTAACAAAATAAAATGAAAGTGAATTAATTAAAATCTAATATCTATGGTTTATGCCTCCCCGTTTGTATTCTTTTCACAAAAATTGCATCTTATGCAATTTTTATCATTAGGATCTGGGTTATAACTGTATTTCCAGCCAGGATCACTACTCCTATTAGATCCCGAAGAAGACATCTAAAAAATAATGCAAATTATTAAAGGCTAAAGTAATAAAGAAAATCACTTACTTTGAGTAACTGAGTTTGATTGCTCAATCTTCAAATTTTCACCTCAAAGATGTTTTTAAATACTCAAACTCTTCTAAAACACCCCCTAATAACTTTGCAAAACATTAAAAAGTAAATATAGTACCAACAGGTGATGTGTTGATCAATTTTGGTTAACTTTGAGTATCCCTTCGATCTTGAAAAATTCGCCACAATCTAATTTTTTTGTGGTTTTTCTCTCTCTAAATTTGGCTCAAACAAGGTTTAGGTTTCAAATGAACCTAAAACCCCAAATTTTGGGCCTTAAAAACAAGGAAGAATAACCAAATTTGCCCCCACCGAAATGGATTTCCGTCCCTGGGCGTGGCGGAGGCCTTGGGCGGCCGCCTAGGGCTGGTGCTAGGCGGCTGCCCAGGTCTGGTGCTAGGCGGCTGCCCAGGTCTAGTGTTAGGCGGCTGCCTAGGCGGATTCCGTACAACCTAGGCGGCCGCCCAAGGATGGACCGCCCAGATTGGCTACTTAGGCCTAGGCGATGTGCCCAGGTCTTTCGGACCGTCTAGGTAGCCGCCTAGGCGCTGGGCGGTCTGCTTTTTAAATCATTGATGACCAGGATTGAAGCGTGAAGCCCTTTTTGTCACTCCAGGAGCTGAGTGAAGTTCCATGGAGGGCGATAGTTGTTTTGTTTGTCTACCTTTGGTAGTTTGAAGATCATGAAAAAGGAAAGCTGGGGAATGCACTAGGGCTTCAGAAATGGAAATTGTAAGAAGTACTTCTACCATTTGGCACAACTCTTTGCCTTCCAACCGTCTCTTTTAAGAAGATATCAGAGGGGTATATATAGATCTGGTTGAGGCCGAGGTCACATGCATTGAGCCAAAGACATCAGTTAGCATCTCCAAGTTGTCTTGTATGTTATATTTTTTAGTGAACATGGTATCATCATTTTTAATGAATTATTTATTTATAAGTTTATCTAGGATTTTGGAATTTAGATTGTACCGGAAAGTTTTGAAAAAATTGGGTGATGCAATTTTTAATGATCCAGTATGAAGACATTTATAAAGAGAACTAAACTACAAGTATGTAGTATTGATTATAATGTTAATGTCGATAATAATTAGCATATTTATGTAAGAAAGGAAAATATTACATGAATATTATCCACCTTGAAATAGGTTCACACTGTCAAGCAAACTCTTCAATTTCTAGGTGTGTGATGGATGAGCATGGGTAACGAAGGCTTCTGCAGTGATGATTAGCATCATCTATTCCTCAAGAAGCTATAACCATATCTCTCCTCTTTTGTCTATGGCCCGGGTCATGCCCAAAACCCTTACCCCTGGCCTTGTGGAACTACTATTGAGGGTTTATTGTAGGTTCCCTTGTTGAGGTCGTAGAGATTCTCAAAGATGTTTTTTATGGGCCACGAGAGCTATGTGGTCTCTTTTGTGTGGAAGAAGGGCCTATGAGAGCAAGGGCTATATCCTCAACAAAATTTCTGCACGGCATGTAGTCATGTACATATGACAACTGCATTTTGGGAAGAAACCCTATATAGAGGGACACATGTACATGTGCATAGAGAGAGTGCGCCCTTTGCACTATGTCTGCTGCTAGGGGGAGGAAGGGAAGGGGGAGGAGCTGTAAATCCACATACAGGGACTATGGTTCCACTGTTTATTGGCTAATTTTGACGGGTCAATCATGAGTCCATGCACTTGACTGTGGGTCATGTATCTCATTGGGTTAATTTGAGAAGATAGTTGTGGTTCATGGATCCTGGCATTGGTGCAGTGCCTTGATATTCGTTTTTTCTTTTTTTGATTGTTGCCTTGGTATTCACTTATTTTTGAGCCATTATGTACCTGTCCACTTCTAAGTTGGATTTTTTTGGAACTCTAGAAATATTGTTTTCAACTAAAATTTGTTACTGTGAATTTTTTAGAATTTAAAAAACAAGTTTTAATAGTGTAAGAACTCCAAAAGGGTATTTTTGTAATTTTAAATAGTCGGGGTATTTTAAGAATTACAAATTTTATAGGTAGGACCCAAATGGGGCTACGGACCTAGTCCCATAGCTATGGTGCCCACTAGGGGCTATCACATGGGGCCCCCTTGGGCCACACACCCCTCTTTGTGAGATGCCCAAATATTTCCCATTTAGATGGGATTTATTTGTGGTGTAATATTTTATTAAAATATTTTGTTAGTTAAAAATTATCTGGAAATATTATCTTTGTGAAAACTATTTAAGAAAATATTATTCTTGTATCGAGTTTATCTTTCACCAATTTGAATTAATTTGAATTTCTTTATTAAACCTTTGTGAGAGAAAAGGAATTCTATATAATTCTATAGGATATGTTCGATTGGTCAAAGTTCTAGATAGATTAGAAGTGCATATAGGTCAAATATCAAGGGATAAGGTTCATACATATTCACTCTAGATCATGATGACTGATCTTGGAGATGAATGACTTAAATCTTTTCTCTCACCTCATAGATCTCCTAATAATCCTAGATAATGTTGAACTCCTAATCTAACTGGGACTCCCTAGGCCCTAGAGGCCCTTATAAATATAAAGGATCTCCCCCTCATTCAGCACATCAGATATCTCTCTCTCTCTTTCTCTCTCTCTCCTCTCCACACCATTCTCTCTTTCTCTCTCTTTATCTCTCGTCTCATTCTCTCTAGCTCCTCTATCTCCTCTTTACAAGGTGGCCTGCCACCCCCTCCCACCTCCGCCCTGCGTAGGTGTTGGGGTGACACGCACCTCAAAGGAGAAGCTAAGGAGGGGGGACACCCTACCCTCTAGTTTTTAGAATTTTTAGGAGGTGCCATCTTGGCAATGCCCGTAGGTTGAAAAATGTTTCTTTTTGAAACCCTAATTGTGATCCTAGCTCTCTTGCCCCATACGTTTCATAAAGGGAGT